TTGTATGTGAATGAAGATGGATTATGTACTGTGTGTGAATGTAGATGGATTGTGTATTGTGTTTGAATGTAGATGGATTGTGCAATGTTTGTAAATGTAGATGGATTGTGTACTGTGTGTGAATGTAGGTGAATTGTGTACTGTGTGCGACTGTAAATAAGTATATGAGTGCTGAAGGTGTGTAATTCAAGTTTGTGTCTCTGCCCATTCCCCTAAAACATTTGTCCTTTTAACCAAAATATGGGTAGTCACCTCATAAATCTCCTATCCCTTGTGTGTCACTTCATGTCTCTGAAATCTCCCCATGTCCATAATGTGCCTTGTACAATGTGATACAAATTTTAAGTGGCTTAAGAATGTTCCAAATATTGCAACTGAATGTGGCAAGTCTTCTTATCTATGTTTATCCAACTGCAGTTCGTCAAGGAGACTGCCATAGATTCATGAAGAGTTAAACAAACCACCAGAAGCTGTTTATCTGATCTGAGCAGATCGATGATGTACATCACATGGTTCAAACTGTTTTTTCATAGTAAAATAGCCATTCTGAATAAACTCAACTCCTTACATAAACAGATTTTGTTTGTAGACGTCTACAACATGAGTAACAATTTGGGAAATGTAAAGTATGTTTTATCATTTATTTATTTACTTACTTACTAAAAGGTGCTGAACGTACATGCTTTTGAGAAAAACTCCTACCTATGACACTTTAGGGTTAATTCACTAAATACCTAATTGTAAGGTAGAACTGCAAAATTGGGGTCAAAAGTGTTGATTTTTAAAAAAAAACATTTTCCAACTTAGCTGCAGTCACACCTACCGTGCACCGGTCTAATGTTGCAGTTTGATTTTCATTTCACCACAATTCAGAGTTTAGTGAAAAACATTGTAAGTTTCTTTCATGTGGTACATGGTGCTTTGCAGCCTCCAGAACCAATCATGTGATGCCAAGAGTTTTTAGAATATTTATTCTAACAAAAAAAAAATATTTGGCATAGACGAACAGTAAGTGAAGAGGGCCCTGTCCAAGCTAGCTTACTTTCACATAGGTTTAGCATGGATATAGTTGGATATTTTATTTTGTTTAAAGGACCACTATAGTGCCAGGAAAACATACTTGTTTTCCTGGCACTATAGTGCCCTGGGGGTGCCCCCAACCTCAGGGTCCCCCTCCCGCCGGGCTGGATGGAGAGGAAGGGGTTAATACTTACCTCTTTCTCCAGTGCTGGGCGGGGAGCTCTCCTCCTCCTTTCCGCCTCCGATCCTCCTCTTCGGCTGAATGCGCATGCGCGGCAGGAGCTGCGCGCGCATTCAGTCAGTCTCATAGGAAAGCATTCACAATGCTTTCCTATGGACGCTGGCGTCTTCTCACTGTGATTTTCACAGTGATAAGCAAGCAAGCGCCTCTAGCGTCTGTCAAGAGACAGCCACTGGAGGCTGGATTAACCCATTTATAAACATAGCAGTTTCTCAGAAACTGCTATGTTTATAGAAAAAAGGGTTAAACCTAGCTGGACCTGGCACCCAGACCACTTCATTAAGCTGAAGTAGTCTGGGTGCCTATAGTGGTCCTTTAATGTTTCTTGCATTTTTCCCATATCCAGGGTGTTTTTATCATATCTTGCTTTTGCCCTTTGACAAGTTCTTCCGTACCACAGACAGGGGGAGCTGTTGGACTAAAATGTGGACCACTGTCTCAAAAGAACCAGGTGAAAGACATTTTTTTTACTTCCTAGCAATAAAGGATGTGATAGCAAGACTTTACTGTTCACAAATAGTTGTTGTTTTGTGTTTAAAGAATCCTTCATTAAAGAACCCCAAACAGAAGGATTGTATCTTCAGTCACCCCTCGAGCCACATTTGGAATCAGAGAATTCAGAAATGGTGGCTTGGTATTTGCTTGCGCGGGAGGAGTCTTGAAAGACACAAGACAGGCTAATATCAGTAATTCCTCAGAAGCTTCTATCTTCTTTTGCTTGAGTTCATTGATGTCACCAAGGGGGTAGTGCAAAATTAGAGGCAAAATAGAAAGAATGTAGCACTCAAACAGTAGCTAATGTTAGGCCTGAAGACAGAGTTCCTCTAGGCCAGGGCGCATCTCTGACAGACATTTATTTTTCTACAATTTTAAAGGGATACTATAGTGCTTGGAATACAACATTGTATTCCTAGCTCTATAGTTCCCAATGGCCCGCCCTCCCTAGCGGCTCCCCTCTGGTAGATAAAGGGGTAATAAAATTATTTACTCACATGATTCCAGCACCAATGTTCCTAAGCCTGGGTCGGCACTCCAGAGGGAAGGTGGGGCTAATGCACATGCACAGCGAACGCCATGCATTACGCTCTCCCCACAGGAAAGTATTGCCTCAATTCTTTCATATGGGTATTTAACTGAAGCTGGATGTCTTAATGCAGAGCGTGAGGACGTCCAGCGTCAGTTAGGCGACCAGAAGTTTTACTGACAGTTTAGTCTACAAATCGGTATTACAATTTTTTTTAAGTAGAAATTTTTTTCATAGTTTCTGAATCTGGTATAAGGGATTAGTGGTAATTTTAATAGTTATGTGGATACACCATGGTCTGAGCATCGATCTTCAAAGTCTGACTGAGTCATCAGAGAATTATGGATTAGTAACTGTAACAAAATGATGACCTACTTAACATAATCTGTGCATTTATCTGTAGTGCTAAAATTGGAAACAAACTAGATACCATCCATTAGCTGAAGTTGAAAATTGGAAGATAGAAGTCGTAGTGGAAAACATGGTTAAAGGGATTGTACAACACACAAGCAGCACTTCTTAATGACTGAAAATGTTAATGGGTTAAATAAAAACATTGAACTAAAACTCTTACATCTGAATTTCCCTTTTTTTTTGTGCAGCAAAAAAGGTGGAACTTGAATGGAAGAGGTTTTTTTTCATGTTTCTTTTTTTTGTGACAATTTTTATTGATTTATTGGGGTACAGAAAAGAAAAGGAGTAGGAGCAGTGGGGAAAACTCAAAAGCATAACAGTTTAAGACATTTCATTGTCGCACATTTCATTCTTAAAGGACCACTCTAGGCACCCAGACCACTTCAGCTTAATGAAGTGGTCTGGGTGCCAGGTCCCTCTAGGATTAACCCTTTTTTTAAATAAACATAGCCGTTTCAGAGAAACGGCTATGTTTATAATAGGGTTAATCCAGCCTCTAAAGCTTCTAGTGGCTGTCTCATTGACAGCCGCTAGAGGCGTTTGCGTGCTTCTCGCTGTGAAAATCACAGTGAGAAGACGCAAGCGTCCATAGGAAAGCATTATGAATGCTTTCCTATGAGACTCGCTGAATGTGCGCGCAGCTCCTGCCGCGCATGCGCATTCAGCCGAAGAGGAGGAGAGGAGGCGGAGAGAAGGAGGAGAGCTCCTCGCCCGGTGCTGGAAAAAAGGTAAGATTTAACCCTTTCATCGCCATCCAGCCCGGCGGGAGTGGGACCCTGAGGGTGGGGGCACCCTCAGGGCACTATAGTGCCAGGAGAACGAGTATGTTTTCCTGGCACTATAGTGATCCTTTAACTTGGCGTATCTGGCTGTGATGTCATGTCAGAACATTGTTAAGTCTCGACCTTGGAAACATACATGCACTTAGACTAAAGTGTGTTAGCAATCTTTATGAATAATAAGGTAATAACAATGTAACCAAGTGGGAAACAGATTTATTGGACAGCCGTGTCCCCTATGAGCGTCATTTCAATTGTCTAGAGTCCTGTGGTGTCTACAGATATTGACTGCTAGTCCTTGGCCAACCCTCAGGGTCTCCAGACTTGCCTCTTCCCTACTTAAAAAAAATAAATTTATGTTTTATTGCGCATACGATACAAATATGGCATTGCCAGTACATTATATGGTTCCATTTAGAAGACACAACAAATACAGTCGTAAGGTTTACATCTATATTGCGTAAACAAGCAAAGACAGCACATTATCTCTATTTTCTTAATATGAATTTGTTAAGCATTGATGTAAATACAGTGTAAGTGACTTAATGAGAATCTAGGGTACCGTTTGAGTATTGATGTTATTGTGAGAATTGTGGAACAACAGTACTTGGTCACCGAGAGTTAGGGAACCCTTGACAATTCAGGGGGGTTTTGTCATGAAGTCAAGCCAGGGTTGCCAGCTGTACAATTATCGTGGGTATGTGTGATATATGGATGAGTGTATTTCCTCCATAGTCTGTATGCATTCGACTCTAGCTATCCATTCCCAAATGGATGGGGTGACATTTTTTTTTAATTTGTGGGCATTGTAAGATTAGATGCCGTGAGAAGATGGTAAAAGAGTCTAAGGCATGCCCTGTGGATCGATGGGGGGAAGAGGAAGAAAAGAATGATGGTGGGTGAGATTGGTAGGTGGAAACCTGGGATTGTGTGGTCTAATGTTGTAATTTTTGCCCAATAGCCTTGTATGATTGAGCAGGACCACCATATGTGGCATGTGTTGCCATCAGGGAGGCCACACATCTAGCAGGTGGTTGGAGACTCAGGGAAAAGCTTGTGGAGGTGGCCCAGTGTGTAGTGCCACCTGGCTATCCTCTTGTAGTTGCTCTCATGTATTGACGTGCTTATGGAAGTGTGGAAAATGTTGTAGAAAAGGTGTTTGAGATCTGTGTCTGTGACCATTGGTCTAGATATTGGGGACGTGGGGAGTTGGTATCGTGCAGAAGAAGTCGGTAGAATTTGGATATGTGTTTTGATTTGATGGTGTGGTTGATACATATGGTTTCAAACATCATATATACCCTGGTACATTGTGGCTCCTGTTTATGTTCCTAATCCTATAGTGTTCCTTTAATAAAGCTGTTCTAGCTGCAGCTTTCATTGTTTATTTTAAATGGATCAAAGCTTGCATGCTAATTTCACAGACACAAAAAGTGATGAGAGTAATATAAAATAACATGTACATTTATTATGATTCAATGGTATATACAGTTCAGGATTCAGGAAGTAATGCCATTATTGTAAATAACTTAAACTGAGTGTCTTTATTAGTGGTTTTCATTAAAAGTTTGACGCAAGGAGTTGAATGGAAAAGCATACACACATTAGCCTTGTATCTGTGACCGGCTGAGGATACATCAATTTGTCTGATTTAATTTCTATAAGCCAACCAGTAGATAATGTTAACTGCACCAAAGGCAGCTGGGAAAACAGCTCTGGCATAAACATCAATTGTATCTGCGTCTATTGGCTTCAGTAAAGATTTCAGCCTGCTTTTTTCACGTCTAAAACCTTGGAATAAATTTTTCTGATGTTCTCTGGTGTTTATGGGGCTGCTCGTTGCCTTTTGATCTTGCCTGTGTTGACTGTTGATCATCGAAATGTCTGGATTCATTCCCATTACTGAAAGGGAGAACAATGCAATGGCTAATCTGCCATCTCTGATGTTCACCTAAAATTACAAATAGAAATAGAAATTAAGCAGATTGGCTGCATAACTGGTTTCTCTAGCATTTTAAATTAACCTGTATGCATTGTCAGTATAAGTTATATACACTCACCTTCACCTACAAGAACAATGTGATTTGTGACTAGCACATTATGGGTAAACACAGACATTTTCAGATAAAATAGTTTTTTCTGATCCACGGTTTCCCTTGACATTTGGCTCTGTCTTATTTTTTATTTTTTATTTTTTTTACTCCCATAGTTTGGCTTGTTTTCTAATCGTCTCATAATTGTAGATTATGCTAACGTAGTGTACCTATAATCTTAATTTTAGTAATGACAGGAGGCGAATATTTGCATAATCTTTCTTTACTAAAACTTCAGCAGCACAGGTCAATCAAAACTTTTAAACCAATCAGAAAACAAGAGTCACTGCTACAAATAGCCCTGTGATGCTTTTCCACTTCCTCTTTCTTTGTAGCGAACTAACAGTCCAGTGAACAAGTCCAACAATCATAACTCATATAACGATGTGGATCCCAAGTAATCCAAACCCTGCTTGAAACGACCAAGGTGCGAAGAGTAAATCCACCGTATGGTACCAGCATTCACACTGCAAAAGAGGAGAAAAGGGTGAAAGGTTGCGAAATGGTCATATTTCATCAGTACCCCAGTGACAAATCTCTAGACATTCATGTTAGTTTGTAAAATCATGTCACTATAATGAAGTATGAAAAGGCGCAAGCAACAGTAGAACATAGGTAGAAAAGGACAGAGAAGCCTGCTAGGGAGAGGAAGGGTGGGAAATATTCACCTCCTGTCATTACTAAAATTAAGATTATAGGTACACTATGTTAGCATAATCTACAATTTTACCACATGACAGGAGGCTTCATATTTGCATTTTTAACACTATGAGAGAAGAGCGAAAGAAGCATGAGAAGTAGGACGGAAATAGAAGATACGGAAAGTCTCTTCACGAGACCAGTCAGCGAGTGCATAATATTCGCCAGAGAAGCACCCGTCGAAAAAGCGTTCGTGGCCACCACCCCGCATACAGAATGCGCCCCAAACGTAGATTCGATGCCCGCCAGTGATAGCAACCATCGAACTCATCTAGCGAGGGTGGTAGCTGAAACAGGCGCGTGCGGATGGACATAGGAAATGAGTAGTTGTCCCGAGGGGGAACTCCGGAACGGAGCTGTAACTTCCACGTATCGGATAACAGTTCTAACCACGCAAAGACGGGGTGAAGCCAGAAAAAACGGATAAAAAAACCAAAGGCAAAAACGTTTTCGTGCGACGTGAAATCGAAAACGAGACCCCTTCTGAGGTCAAAGCCTCATCTGCGAAATATAGGATTTTTGCCAAAGGTCCCAGGAGATCAAGCAGCTTGTCCTGCGTGGCCTTCAGGCCTCTCTCAACACCCTTCTTGGGATCCCGTCCCGTGCGGGACATGAATACGACCACTGTTTGGTTGAATTCAGGGGTCACTGCCATCTTATCGGGCAGGATGGGGCGCGGGCATTCGGCATTTGCGTATCCAGAAATGCACGAAGCGTGCTAAATGCTCAGGTAGGGACCATTCTGAGGACCTCAGGTGTCTAATGGTGCGAGGATCAAACAAAGGGCAACCTTGGGAGTCCAGAAAAAGGCCGTTGACCTCCTGGGAGGAGAGGTCGTGCGTCAACCCTTGAAGAGAGGGAGCACCAGACACATATTCGCAGTCCTGAGGAAGATCGTGCCAGTCATCCCCGTCATCGGATGCGGGTTCAACCGCTCTCCCTTCATTTAATATATTCAGAGCCGGAGGGTAGTACTCGTCTTCCCCCGAGGAGGGTGCCGGTGGGGGGGTTCAGGCCTCAGCACTCGTTTGGTGCGTTTTACCAGCTCTTTTCCTTTAGGCCTAGAGACGGGTGTTGCGCCAGGTCTGTGGCGTTTTGTTATAGGGGCTGTGCTCCCAATGGATCTTTCGGATCCTGCCGCATCGTCACCCTGTGAAGGGGATGTGTCCGAGGGCATGTTGGGTACCTCAGGAGGAGGTTGGGTGAGCATTGCTTTTTCTACTGATGCTGCGACTGCAGCGTTAATCATGGACTGGAAGTCCTGGGTCTGTGGTGGTGTATCACTCATATTGCAGTATCTGTGAAGGAGAGTACACAGATTAGTATCCGTGCAGGCCGCATAGGCTGCCGGGAGGCCCCTGCAAGTACAATTGGGGTATGCGTAGAGGCGTAATATAGATCTCTTAAGGAGTGAGAAAGACCCAATTATAGTGAGAATAAATCTCAATGCCGGTAACAGTGAGCGGCTGGTGTCAGGTAGTGAAACCCTGAATTGGTGGGAGACGTTAAAAGCTTCCAATAGTGCAGGAGTTGTATATCCTGTATGTCCCCTGTGGGGATGGTACCAGTGAAATGGATAAAACCGTGTATAAAAATGTGGGATTCCCAATAAGGGTTGTGGTTCCTAAACAGCCCTGGTCCCTTTAGTGTTAATGGCTCACCCTGATAGTACTGCAGGTTATATCCCTGCATTCAGTATGTAACAGGCACAATAATAATAAAAGCTCATAAGTGAGGGAGAGTTGAAGGCTGTAGTTGGTGTATCCCCGGTTGTCTGGATAAATACCCACTCTATTTAAGGGAACAGAACAAACAAGGCCGCAATTAGTAGTCGCGGCTGCAATCCAAGATGGCCGCCGCGCGAGGACCTGGTGGGAACAACTCCCGTGGTCCGTGCGAGCAGCGGAGAAAAAAACAAAAACAAAGCCCCCTAAGTCCATGGTGCCCCCACACCCAAACACCCCCCTCCACCCCACCGCTACCCGGAATAGTAAACAAACACCCGCACGCAAGCAAAAATGGCCGCGGGTGGACAGTAATTCAGAAAAGGTAGTCAGGCAGAAAGGAGGGAAAAAGGGTAGGGCTAGAGGAGCAGGGACAGGGGAGAAATAAAAAAAGCAATAAGGAATAAACAGAAAAACTGACAATTTGTAAATAAGTGAGTGAAGTAATACTCTGACCTGTATTCTGCCTGAGCAGCAAAGAAAGAGGAAGTGGAAACGCATCACAGGGCTATTTATAGCGGTGACTCTTGTTTTCTGATTGGTTTAAAAGTTTTGATTGACCTGTGCTGCTGAAGTTTTAGTAAAGAAAAATTATGCAAATATTCGCCTCCTGTCATGTGGTCAAATTGTGTCTTCTACACACATATATGTTAAGCCTAGCCATTCTAACGACTAGTAATCAACTACTTTCCTAATTCTGAGATATGTATAAGCCCTTCCAGGAGTGTTAAAATAAGGGGCATTTATTTATACTGTTTATTTATTCCATACATTTATTTTCTAGGCTATTATTCATGGCAGCATTAATATATGTGTAGCTCATAGGAGAAGGTAGACGGGTCAGTAATAAACCTGACCTTTACATGATTAAGGTCTTGAAGAACAATTCAAGGTATGTGACCACCAAAAAAACACAATATTGTTAAGGATGCCACAATGTCAGTGAGAAGAAAGCAGAGTTTTTGTGGGTCCCAAAGCAGCCTTAACTCATTGGACATGTCCATAGATGGACTATGAGTCATGGATTGAGGTTCTTGCATAAGGAAGTTCAGGTCCATAACATTTTCTTCACATAATGGCTCAATCCCTCCATCGGAGCTTACAAGATGCCACTTGTGACCTGTGACTGTAGGTTCCATGGCCCTACATTAATGTAAGGAATGGTAGAGACCCCAACACTCAATGTAAGGGATTTGAAAGACATACATTCTGTTTTTATGAGTGGCCAGGGTACTGAAAAATTAAGATACAAAGTGTGACCATGGGAGCTCGGAAGGGAGCGATGGATAGTGATGAGATTCAGGAGTCACTGTGGGCAACAGTTATCATAACGAGGTAAATTCTTTATTATATGTAAAAACTCTTAACCTATTTTTTTGTTATTCTAATTTAGCTCCTTTCTGTTATCCTCATATTATCTTGTACATCTTATTTATTTTCACCCAGTTCATAAAGATCTCTTTTTACACTACTAAGAAAGTGATTCATCCTCTTGCATGTAGAAATTAATGAATAAAGAAAGATTTGGAATTTAATGTTTTCTAGTTTCCACAACATATTTATTAAGTAGTTCATCATTTACTCCATTAGACTTATTAAATCTACTAATGCACATTGATCTCTAGGTCCATTTCTGTTTCTTCTTCTTTCATAGTTAAAATTGACCTTCCCTCTTTTTCTATTATCTCTGACTTATATTCCAAAACATCGGACTTAAAGAGACACTATAGTCACCAGAACAACTACAGCTTAATGTAGCTGTTATGGTGTCTGTAGCATGTTCCTGGTGGCATTTTAATGTAAACACAGCCTTTTAGGAAAAAAAACAAGAGAATGCTCTGCATGGAGATGCATTGATTGAGGTGATGCTGATAGTCCAGCGCAGCCTTTTGCCGGGCGTGCATGCACAATAGCCACCTAATGATTTCCTATGGGAAATCATTGGATTGGCTGAGATTCTCAAATTTGAAGATCTCAGCCAAGGAGGTGGATCAAGGCACAGACAGCACCGGTGGACCCACGCATCGCTGGAATAAAGGTAAGTAAACTCACCTTTTACATTAGAGACAGGGGGCTGAGGGGCCGCATAGTTATATTACATATATATTAACAGATTAGTTAAATCAGTACAGATTTTTCTTACCTTTTTGTTCATTTTATTGGCCTTTGTCTTTTCATGCTTCTTCATGTAGTCTGCGTTGTAGTGAGCAAAAGCATACTCTATCAGAGCAGCAAACACAAACACATAACATATAAGGAAGTAGACATCAAGGGCTTTGACAGCAGATGCTCTAGGCAAAGACGATCGAGCACTAATCATCAATGTTGTCATTGTGAGTACAGTGGTGATACCTGTAAAATAAAAATCACGCTAAAAAATATAATTCTGAAAATTATTACTGAAATATTGAAAAATGTAATGTTTTCTTTTTTTTCAATAGTTATTTAATGTCCTAAAGATGAAAAAGGAAATGCCAAATAGTGAATTGAAAAATGACTGGCAACATTTAGGCAACAATCGCTTATAAAGGAACATTCTTCAACTCACCTATAGTCATAGCTCGGCTATTTAACCTTCAATTGGCTACAATTTATAGTGTCCTCTGGCCCACCCCCTCGTGGACCCCTAGCGTCAAATAAAGGATTAAAAAAAAAACCTTTTTAAACTTACTTGATTTGTGCTCCCCCACAAACGTCAGCCAATGGGGGGACCTAATGCGTCTGCATGGCTAGCACTGCATGCACATCAGGCCTTCTCTATAGGGAACCATTTCCTCAATGCTTTCCTACGGGGTATTTCAACATGCTGGATGTACTCATTCAAAGCGTAAGGACGGTCAGCATCGTTTCAAACTTAGTGAAACTTCAGGAAGTGCATTTAGTGGCAGCCTGGTACACAGTAACTAGAGGTAGTTCTAACTAAAACTGCAGTCTTTAATGTTCTTTCAGCATTCCATACCTGCAACATTTCATAGCTGCTTTAATAATGCCAGTGCACGCTGACTATGCTTAGTGCTAAACCCACATCGTACATCTGCACAAGTTACTTTATGGTACTTGAACATACACCATGTGACAGAAACCAAATGGATTATAACTATTTTTATCATCAGAGTATGTCAAAAAGTCAGTGGGAAATGGAATATATCATGATCTAACTAGCAATCGTAGAGAATTTTATTTCAAAATAGATGATGGGTTATACCTTGTACAGCCAGGGAATGACTCAAATGGACACTCCTAACCCTCAAGCACTTTAGTTTGCTGAAGTGCTCTATGCATGGTGTGTCCTCTTTTGTACATTTTACCAAAAAGGTTAGATTTCAGTAGAAATCGTATTTATTATAGACTAACCTTTGACACCCCTTTAGCTGTCAATCAGACAAATTGTCCTGTTACTTCCTGATTTGGTTAGATACCAAACAGTGATTTAAAAAAAAAAAAAATTACAATATTTTTGCAATGGAGTGTCCCTTTAAGATACAATCTAAACCCCCCATTTGTTTTGTTCCTTCTTTCCCTATCCTAGTTCGCCTCAATTCCCAGTTATTCCCCTCCATGTATGTGTAGATCTCTGTAAGTTTATGTAAGTTCATGGGATGAAGCAAATAGGAATCAGTGTCTAGGCCTCCTGAGTACGGTGCAAAGAGCCTGCAAGGGTTGCAGGACATCTGATGAATAAAGAAGGTTTTAATGACCAGTTCACTGGTAGGTAGGTATTTTTTATTTTTTTATAGATCTACAGATTGCAGGACAAAATCCAAGTGCAGGAGATATTGTCATCAGGATCAAGTAACCTATTCAGTTCAGATCTAGACACAGCATAGAATACATAGTGAAAAACTGTAAAAGTCTAGAAAGGTGAAACAAAGATTTTATTTCTAGATTAATGAAATCTTACCGAGCGAGACTCTCGCGGGCACAGCTGATTGGCTGATCCAGAAGGATATCCAAGACATAACCACTAGCAGGATAGATGGAACGTAGGACTGTATAATGTAAAGTCCTCGATTTCTTCTCAGCTGGAATCGGAGTGACAGTCTAGGAAACTGACCAGCTGAGGACATAGAACGTGATATTTTTCAAACAATTTCCTAGATCTTCAGCGTCAATCTTCAGTAACTGTTAAAATGTAGTTTGCACGGTATAGTACAGGGTCACTCACAGAAATTGTATGAATTTCCTAGGATTATGTCTAAAAAAGTAGCTGTAAATTTTGCATGCTCGATTTTACAGCTCAATAAAGAAATGCTCAATATCGAAAAGAAAAACTAAGCACAAACTAAGAGACTAGCCACAATAAAAGCATACTGTCCCAAATATCCATGGTACTGCCTGTTACCTGATTTAAAGTTCATCTGTTCTTTTATGAATCTGTAACCGGTAATGGTGAACTGAGCAAGCTCGATTTTATCCAGTCCATGGATCTGATCCTGAATTTCTGACCACTGATACGTAATGTCTTCTGCTGAATAGCCATCTATGGTAAAAGCATGATACAACATGTAAGCTTATAACACAACACAAGTTCTATCCTATTGGCTTTCACAGATTTCCATAGTTACATAGTTACATAGTTCAGCCTTCTTCACATTTATTGTTGCTGTTGGTCCAAAAGAAGGCAAAAAACCTAGTCTGAAGCGCTTCCAATTTTGCCACAAACTAGGAAAAAATTCCTTCTTGACCCCAAAATAGCAGTCAGATGTCTCCTTGGATCAAGCAGCTATTACCCCACTAATTAGAAATTATAACCCTGTATGTTATGTTTTGGAAGTATTTATCCAATTGCAGTTTAAACCTCTGTAGTGACTCTGACAAAACCACCTCTTCAGGCAGAGAATTCCATATCCTTACTGCTCTTACTGTAAAAAAAACTTTTCTTTGCCTTAGATGAAATCTCCTTTCTTCCAGCCTAAATGTGTGACCTTGTGTCCTATGTATAGCCCTGTTTATGAATAGATTTCCAGATAAAAGTTTGTACTGGCCCCAAATATATTTGTATAAAGTTATCATATCCCCTCTCAGGCACCATTTTTCCAAACTAAACAGATTTTGTTTTTTGTTTAACCTTTCTTCATAACTAAAATGCTCCATTCCTTTTATCAATTTTGTAGCTCGTCTCTGGACTTTTTCTGGTGCTATCTTTCTTTAGAACAGGCGCCCAAAATTGGACACCATATTTAAGGTGTGGTCTTACCAGCGATTTATAAAGAGGCAAAATTATATTTTCATCCCGAGAATTTATGCCCCTATTTATACATGACAAAACCTTACTGGCCTATTTCAAGATCATTTATAAATATGTTAAATAGAAGTGGTCCCAAAACAGAACCCTGAGGGATACCACTTACCACTTTTGTCCAGCCTGAAAATGTACCATTAATTACAACTCGTTGTCCTCCATCCTTAAGCCAATGTTCTACCCAAGAACAAGAATATTAATCTTGACCAATTTCTTTTAGTTTGAAGACTAACCTATTGTGAGGAACTGCCTTGGCAAAATCCAAGTAGATCACATCCACTGCAACACCCTGATCTATACTTCTACTTACTTCTTCGTAGAATGCAATTAGGTTAGTTTGACTTGACCTATGTTTCATAAAACCATGATGATTATTGCTAATAAAGTTCTTCCCAATGAATTCTTCAATATTATCCCTTAATAGCCGTTCAAATATTTTCCCAGTTACAGAAGTTAAGCTCACAGGTCTATAATTTCCAGGCAAGGATTTTGAACCCTTTTTAAATATAGGAACAACATCTGCCTTCCTCCAATCCTCCGGTACAACACCTGAAACAAAAGAATCTTGAAAAATTAAATACAGAGATTCACTTATTTCCCCACTTAGCTCCTTAAGTACTCGTGGGTGAATACTGTCAGGCCCCAGGAGCTTTATTTACATTAATTTTCTTTAATAACTGAAGCTTCTTGTCTCGAGTTATCCAGTCACAAGTTATTTGCAAGTTGTTTGCAGCAATCATTTGCATATCTCTTGCCATAGGATCCTCATTAATATATACTGAAGAAAAATTGTTATTTAAAATTTCTGCTTTTTCATGGTCTTCATTAGTTAATAAACCCAACTCTGTTTCCTTTCATTTTTTGTTTTTTTAGAATTGAAGTACTTGAAAAAAATTTTGGGGTGGTTTTGCATTATTTAGCTATCAATGTCTCATTTTCTAGTTTAGCCACTTTAATTGCCTTTTTTCAAGCGTTATTGGCTTCCTTATATCTTAAATAGAATGCCTCTGATTTGTCTGATTTAAATGCTTTAAATGCCCTTTTCTTATTTTTAATCTCTTGTTTTACTTCTCTACTGTAATGGTATTTATTAATTAATGACTTTTTGTCATAAAAAAAGCATAATGAGCTTAATGCTTTAGACGCACCACTAGATGTCAGTAAAGCATATTTAGTGTAATGCTTTGGGGGCACCACTAGGGGGAGTGTGTAGGAAGACCTGTGCTTCTGGCAGTGACATCACAGGCCAGCCTACTTACACTGAATAAAACCCAGATGTTAGGAGAAGCGAGCTCTCTGTTTGCCTGTACCTGACTGATCATGTAGCACCAGCTCTGACTTAGCCCCAGCCCTTTGGCTGGGGCCTTGTAAGTAATATGTTTGTATTGTAACAGTTAGCAATTGTAATAGCCTTAGCAACCAATAGTGTTTTGTGTAGTATTGTATTGTATAATTATTGAAATTGACATTCCGCTAGCATCTGTTTATTTATTATAGTTATATTAAATATACATTTAATATTACAACGTTTTGTGTATTTTCTATCCACATATTCGACCATAATACCATGAATTATAAAAATATTAATGTTGTTCCGTATTGCTTAATTATTATGTATTAAGAGATTAATATTCATATTTAGGTCACGCCCACAACATATGGCGTAGTCGGCAGGATTATGCTTGAATATTGGGGAAAATATAAATGTTATGCATTTTGCTTAAATCATACTGTAAATTGTCTGTCTGTATACAAATGAATAAATGAATGATGATTTGGTTTTAATGGAATGAATGCAGATAGCAGATAGGGATTAGATATTTGTTTTTAAGGTATCTCTTGTTGTAGAACATAGTGATGAATTATTGTGTTGCTTGTTACGTTTTACCAACCTTTGGTCATTTTTATATATAAAACAAAAAACAATTTTACTTTTTGTCTGACCATGTGGATTTTAATCCACCATTGACCACATGGTGTGAATGAGTTGAGGCCTAGTTTCATTGTTTGCTACCATTTGCATAGGAAAAGACTTTTCACTAAACTAGTTCACCAGGTTTTATTGCTAAATTTGACCCTGTTTGTGTACTAATTTACATTTGTTTGGCATTCATGGATTTGTCTAGTTGAAAAGAGATTTGGACAAATGTATTAAATTAGTAGTTAAGAAAAAGATACGCTTAGTAAAGCAGATTCAGTGAATAATAGATTTATGTGTGCGTATACACAGAATATTAGTATAAATATATATATGATTTTGACTCATGAAGGAGAGACCACCTTTTTAACAGCTGTGTGACCATGCTTTTCAGCTACAGCTGGGGGAGAATTTGTCCTTGTTGGGGGTGGGTAGTCTTGCCTGTATGAGAAAAAATAAACTGCATTGTTTTGTAAATGTAATTGCCTAAGCTAATCAATTTGTGGAGTGTTTTTCAGCTTTATTATCCAGGACTAAGGAATTACTGGACATATGCAGGAACTGGTAACAAATGAACTGAAAAAATGGTAAAATAATTCCTTTGTCCTATTTAGTCTGAATATTTTAACAAGTTAGCATTTTTAACAAAGTAAGTGTAGGGGCTCAGATTAAGATTTATATTATTTTAGAAGCCATCTATAACTGATTTTAATATTTCCATGCTTTGAATTAGGGTGTATCTGCCTAGCGGGTGAACCTCCATAACGTGGGCTGTGATTTTAGTTACAGTAGCGGGTGGGGAACCTGAGCTAGGGGGTATTTAAACGTGTCCGGATAAGGGGGAGCATACCCAATAGTTGTTGTGCAGTTCTATCCTGTATTATTATTTGAAACCCTGTATTACTTATAAGTAGCGTTTTGTAACTTATTTGTAATTGTTTATATATATTGCTCTGGGAAAGGGATAGGCAAAATCTCTGAGAGACCAGGAAATATATTTAAAAAAAAGGGCGTATTACACTAGTGGTAGGGTGGCCTATCATGACCGTAGAGACCCTTGGTGACTAGTTTTTGTTGTATATTGCCCTGGGAAGGGGATACGCTATTTAATAGAAATTCCTGAGAGACCAGGAAATATACAATAAGTGATACGTGAGTGTACTGGTTAAATTGCAGACATATTGGCCCAGAACCTTTAATCAAGCCGGAAAAGAGGCTGCTGTATGTTTGCTCCTCTATAATTTTGCGGGGGCGGTCACCCCCATGCGGAAAGCCACTGCCATCACAGGGTGGTTAGTTGTGCAGGCCCTTAGCCGCGAGGTGCAAGCATGTCCGTGGAAAGGCTAGAAATTAATAGGGAGTCACTCATAGCTGTCAGAAGTGTTGAACTTTGAGACATATTGACCTATATCCTTTCAGAGGCGGAAGAGGTGTTGTGGTTCACTCCTCTATAATTTAACCAAAGGGTGGAGAGTTATTAAACATGTTTAGGTTGGCTAGAAATGTGTTTCCTGAATTGCAGAGAAGATGCAGAAAGCAGCTATTAGCTGATTGTTTATTTTAAGAGCCAAGTAGAAAATTAAGAAAGTTACCTTGTTGAACAAATTGTTTATAAAATGAAAAGTTTAGGGAATGTATTTATATGTGTATATATGTATATATGCTAAGTAAAGGATTTGGCAGTATACGCTATAAGTGACAAGGAAAAGTAATCCTGATCTGTTTTCTTACCTTTTTCAGATATAGCAGAAACCAGGGGTGGACATTGGAACACAGATAGAATATCAGATGGAGACCAGTGTTTAAATGTTGACCTTTGATGAGCTATTGAATGTTTTATTTTATTGTCTATTTAACATGTCTATGCTATGATTTTGTGCATACTGTTCTCTTATTTCTAGTGATTGTATTGCAATTGAAACCCTTATGTATTATTATTGTTGTATGTATGCTTGCCTGGGAAAGGGGGGAATTGACCCATAGGGACCAGGGGGTATTTTTGTGTAAACCAAACTGGGGTGGGAGGGCTCTAACGAGGGAACCCCATTGTCCAGTAGGTGCTTGATTTGTGTCTGTGTAAAGTGCATGAGTGGTTGCAGTTCAAAAAACAAAAAACAAAAATAAGAGGGATAAGAGAAAGTAGGCATTTTGGGTTATCTATACATGTTTAAATAGAAGGGTGGTAAATAGGAATGTAATTGTTTTGGTTAATGTTTAGATTAAATTGGTTAAATACAGCAGTGATAACGAGTGTTTAGATTAAATTGGTAAATGCAGCAGTAATAACGAGTGTTTGGGTTAAATTGGTAGATACAGCAGTGATATTGTGTTTATCTGTGAATCAGGAGTGTGCTGGATGTGAAGAGAGGTGTGTAGGTATTTATCCAAACGCCATAGGAAAAAATATGGTTAAGACACCACAATCAAATGGTACTTGTGATGATTGGCACAGTTATTATTTATGTTTGTGTTCGTCATTGCCTGTGTTTTCATTCAAGAACTTTCAAGCAGAAGAAGAAGAAGCACTGGACACTATGCTCAACTGTCGCTGTAAGGAGAAAAAATATTGCAGCTAAGAGGGGTGAGAGTCGGAACAAATGCATCAGGAGCAGGACACTGTTACGTCAAGGTGGTTAATGGTATAAAGAAAGAAAAAACAAAACAATGTGACCACAAACACACAAAAGTCCTTGATCACATGAACTGTTTCATTCATCCCTGTCTCCATGCGTATGTTCTATGAGACTGTCGAAGAATAGAGTATCCAGTTTCCAGGACTAATGTTTGTGAAAATTCCAGGCACACAGACCAGCCAGAGGCTACAGAAATCGTGTCGGTCTGTGCCATGATTCATAGGTGTTATGAGTTTGTGGTGTCTAATACTATATTAAGCTCCAAAACACATCCTCACATGAACACAATATCATTGGTTAATCTAATAAAACATGGTTTGAGTTGTCTATTATTACAAGGGTGGGTATTTGCCTATTTAAGGCCAAGGTTTCCCAACTGCTAATGCATGTGCTCAGTTGTTATTATAAGGGTGGGTATGTGCTTATTTTAGGCCAAGGTTTCCCAACTGGTGATGCATGTGCTCAATGAAAAAAAGTAAATAAAAATTGAATAAGCAATAAAGTGTCATAACTTTACGGGTAAATGGGTATCATTCTTCAAAAGGTGGGTTTTGTTGTAGGGCAGGTACTGTTAAAATAGGGTAGATTCAAGATGTATGGGTTTATAATGTTTGTTTTATGACATAAGTCAAAGGGTGGTTTGTAATGGTATTTATTAATTAATGACTTTTTGTCATAAAAAAGCATAATGAGCTTAATGCTTTAGACGCACCACTAGATGTCAGTAAAGCATATTTAGTGTAATGCTTTGGGGGCACCACTAGGGGGAGTGTGTAGGAAGACCTGTGCTTCTGGCAGTGACATCACAGGCCAGCCTACTTACACTGAATAAAACCCAGATGTTAGGAGAAGCGAGCTCTCTGTTTGCCTGTACCTGACTGATCATGTAGCACCAGCTCTGACTTAGCCCCAGCCCTTTGGCTGGGGCCTTGTAAGTAATATGTTTGTATTGTAACAGTTAGCAATTGTAATAGCCTTAGCAACCAATAGTGTTTTGTGTAGTATTGTATTGTATAATTATTGAAATTGACATTCCGCTAGCATCTGTTTATTTATTATAGTTATATTAAATATACATTTAATATTACAACGTTTTGTGTATTTTCTATCCACATATTCGACCATAATACCATGAATTATAAAAATATTAATGTTGTTCCGTATTGCTTAATTATTATGTATTAAGAGATTAATATTCATATTTAGGTCACGACCACAACATCTACTAAGCCGCATTGGTTTTAATTTGTTTCTTTTATATTTATTACCCAATGGTACATACTGAGAAATTTACCTTTCTAATATTTGTTTGAATAGTTTCCATTTATCCTCTGTGTTTTTATCACTAAGGAGTTTATGCCAGTCGATATGTTGTAGAGCTGCCCTAATCTTATTGAAATTGGCTTTTTTAAAATTATATGTTTTAGTATACCCCACTTGCTTTTGCTTTTTTTGAGTTTATTTCAAAAGTTACCATATTGTGATCACTATTTCCCAAATGCTCCCCTACTTGAATGTTGGTTATATATATATGAAAAGGGGTTACAAAAAATTTAAATAAATCAAAACAGCAAGGAGAAAAATAAATTAAAAAGGGTAACAGTAAAAAATAAAAAAATAAAAAAGCACAAAATACAAAAAATACAAAAATTTAAACCTGCTTTTTTTCCCACTTGGTATTAACTAATACCAACCACAGTCCACCAGTCCACCAACGAACTCCTGTTGTTTTAACTCCTACTTTAAATAGCCTACTTTCAAGCTAACTCCAGTGAGCCAATCTTCTTGAGTGGGTACAAATAAATGGAAAATCAATAGCAGTTCCATCATGTCTGCTTGTGTGTCAGGATCGTGACAGGGATCCAATACGCAGAGTGCGGACAGGAGGAGGTACGTATACCGGACCTTAGAATGGCCGGACTAACGTATAGACAAGATAAGAATGGTCAAAAGGTAAGCCGAGGTCGAGGGAGCCGGAGGACAGGTAAGCGAGGAACAAGCCGGGTCAAAGGAGAGGAGAGAGCAGCAGGACAAAGGTACAAGCTAGGTCAAAACCGAAAAACACAAAGAGAGAGAACGCGCTGAGTGACTAGCAAGCTAGAACCACGACAGGGCAATGAGCAGTAGTAAAAGCTTCCCTTAAATACCCTGTCACCTTAATTATGACCACGCCCCCAAAAGGTCCGGAATTGCGGTTCCCGGCGGTTCACGTGATGATGACGTCATGACGTCGACGATTAGCCGTCGCGTCATAAAAGGGGGAGGAGCTAGCGCGGCCGGCGCGAAAACGGCCGAAAAATGCCGAAATGCTTGGGCATAGGAGCCCCTTTGGAAGAGAGACTGACCTCCTCAGAGGTAGAATTTACAGGTAACCTGACATTGTGAAAGCATGCATGGCTCATCACTAAGTGACCTCATGCTATGCACAATGAGGTCAGAATCAATATGTCCCGGGATTAGTAAGCAATGTTAAAATAATGGTTATAGGATTACAGGTAAAGGTGGCGTTTCAATCAATTTTGATTATAAAAAGCAGTAAGCAGACAGAATACACTGAGCTTGGTATAGTAATTAATTTATATTAGAACAACATAACATTGTACAAATATAATAAATGCTCAGAATTCGGCAGACACAGCTTGTGCTGGGCCAAAAGGCCCAAGGCTGCCGTACTGACGAACAATAATGCCATACCCAACCTACATCAACAGATTATTGGAGGCAAACAGAAACCAGACAGGTCATTGCTTAGCCTTGTCAATAGACGACGTCTTCTCTCCTGGGGTCTCTAAGTTGGTTGTGAAATCCATCACATTTTCCTGGACATGATTCATGTCTTCATGTTGATTGGATACATGTGAAACGTGTTGCCCACTAGCATGTAGAATTCATGCTGCAGGATTCTTTCTTGATTAATGGTTTGATTTTCTACATGCAGATTTTGAATACCACATACTGCAGGAAAACAATTTACATGTGTCGCCTACCAGTTTATATAAGTTTACATAAGTTCATGATATGTGTCTGGGAAAAATGATAGAACTGGATTAAGTCACTCTGGTTGTTGATTTGATAAAGGAAAATTGTTCCTTGACTGTTAACGTAAGATATAGGACGCTTCTTTAAAAAATGAATTATGCCAAAAGTGTTGTCCGAAACCTTTGGAAAGGTGAGATTGTGACCATTGTGGACATTAGCACGGTCAAATAATAGTCTGTGGCCTTATCTCATCTTAAACTTTTTATTTAATCCCAGACAATGCTTTCTAATAACATAATTTATAAAGGTATTCATCATTTTACCACTTTCACATATGATTCATTACGATTCAAAGTGGATCCTATCTTGGGAAAAAATCGATATATACATATGATGTAAATATGGTTTATCAGAACATGGAGGAGATTCAGAGCCTGTGGAAGGGCCGGCAATCACACAGTACACATATCTAGAGAGGGCACCAGAGATCACAGAGAGTGTAGCTGTGTGTTGCGAAAGGTGTAACTGTTGCACCCCTGGCTCCTTGACAGTCACTACCGGACAGTCGGTGTTAAGCATAGTCTGCACATAGAGCGTGCAGGGAGATCATTGAAAATTGTCTCCCTGAGTCCTGTGATGGTGACTGGGAGCCGATCTTGCATGACTTAGCTCTCAGTGTCTCTGCCACGGTCACTGCTTGGAGTCTTTTAAAGAGCCTCACACAGTGCGCGGGAGCAGCACAAGTCACATTTGAAAAGTTATTCCAGCAGATTGTGATAATTTAAAAACATCATCCAAATCGAGGCCTTAGTGTGTGTGTGTGTGTGCGCCTGTGATACAGTGTCTATGTTTGTAACACTGTCTTACTTTGTCTGTGAGTGTTTTGTATGTGTGTCTGAAAAGATTTGTGTCTGTGCACGTGTCTTAAACTTTTTATTTAATCCCAGACAATGCTTTCTAATAACATAATTTATAAAGGTATTCATCATTTTACCACTTTCACATATGATTCATTACGATTCAAAGTGGATCCTATCTTGGGAAAAAATCGATATATACATATGATGTAAATATGGTTTATCAGAACATGGAGGAGTCTGTATGTAAGAGTGTGGTTGTGTAGGAGTATGAAAACAACGGGTATAAAAATGATCCAGCACATGCAAAGTGCAGGAAAGCAGGTTTAATAGGAACACATTTGTTTCTGTCTTTCTGGGACTTTACATGTACCGAATCTTTTTTGCATCTACTGTTTTACTATTTGCCACTCTGGACCATCTTTAACACTGCAAATAATCTGCTGCCTTCCCAGTTGATGATTTCTGTCTATTTTGTCTACAACTTTCAATGTGAATATCTGAATGTGTCTGAATATTTACAAGTGGGGCTCAGTCCTTAAAGTTGCACATGGAGCCTTTGACCTAAGACCAGCCCTGACCTGTGGATGTGCTACAAAACAGAAACTTAATAAGAACCTTTTTTTTTAAAAAAAACCCAAAAACAATAAGCCTATAATAATCAGATGTCTTCGCAAATAGTTACAGCTCTCAAGGTCCAGCATGCATTCCTGTTCATCCATCGGATACTTTGTTAGGTCCATGTCACACGCGACTGTAGAAGTAATCCTGCAAATTAAACATATGCTCAAACTTAAAAAAACAACCCCTATATAACTGAGAAGGACATAAAATAAAATAACAAACTAAAAATAAAGTCATAATGACAGTTTGGGGAGGAGAGGAAGCAAGAGAGAAAGGGCTTAAAGGACCACTATAGGCACCCAGACCACTTCAGCTTAAAGAAGTGGTCTGGGTGCCTGGTCCAGCTAGGATTAACCCTTTTTTTTATAAACATAACATACATTGAGGGTTAATCCAGCCTCTAAAGCCTCTAGTGGCTGTCTCATTGAGTATGTTTTCCTGGCACTATAGTGGTCCTTTGATGCAAAACAAGTGCAAAGGCAGTAAGTGCACTGTTATTGTCTGGATAGGGATGAATCTTCTTAGTTACTGTTACCGTAGTCAAATAGAGAGTACATGATGTACCCAACTTAGTTCATGCAACCCTGTTGACTTTGTACGATTGATTATTGTCTTCTCCAAACAATGCCAGACTTCTCTTGTAGAATATGTCACATTAATGATACATTATTACACTAACTTCACTGTTTAATAATTACAATCAGAAAATCTAAAAATAAAGATTGTCAAAAAAAGTAAAAGAGGGGAAAAAAAATCAAAATACCACCTATATAATATTCACAATATAGGTTTCTAGCGCATACAGTTAAAGGCAGCTCCAACGCCCAAACCAGAGTCTAATGCTTCCTGCTTTTCTGTCCATTCTCATTTCCCCCTTAATACGTACTGTATACAAAGCAGTTCGGGTACCAGTCAGGGGTGTTCCTAGTACTCACAACAGAGGATACTCTCCATGACAGAATGCAAAACCCTCGATAGCTTTTATTTTACACCTAAAGTGCTTGCTGAAGTGCTTTATGTGTGAAAAGTGTATCCTCTTTTTTTTTCATTTAAAAAAGTGCAAATTTCAATAAAAAAATGCACTTTTAGAAATTAACTTTGTTACACTTCAATCAGACAACTGGTCCTGTTACTTCCTGGTTCTTTAGAACATTGGAGTGTCTAGCCATGCGCACTATAGAGTTAGGAATTCAGATCTATGATATTTTATTTAAATTCTTTATATTTCGTGTGGAATGATAAGTACATGTGTATGGCCACAATAGCCACTGTGCGTCAAACAATAGCAGTGTACATTAAGCACAGAGCATTGCAAGATTCTATTCACACACTTTTTATAGTTACAATAGGTCGCAATGTTATAATGAGTTAATTGAGATGTAAAAACTGTTTGGGTGAAAGACACCCGTCTAATTAGATCACGAGCATTGTGAGGCCATGAGTGGAGGGGAAAGGGTGGTTTCGGCAAAGTCTGATAACGGTTTTTGGTCCCCTTTCATGTCTCTCGAGGTTATGTGGAGTGGGATGTGATGGTTGAGGGGTTTCTCTGTGAGTCCCCCTATCGTGGCTAGGTCCGTTACCATGTCGCTTCAAATTGTGGTTACTGGTGTACACCAGTGTGTGTGGTGTTCTGGGAGTCATAGGGTGCAGATTGTCAGGGTTTCTTTGCTGTTTTAAACAGCAACCCAGGGCCACCATCACGGCATGACAACCATAACGGTTGTCATGGGCCCGCGGTCCTGGGGGGCCCGGACTGCTCTGGCAGTCTGAGCCCCACATTCCTTATGTGCACAGATATATAGCGAATTTCACTATATATCTGTGCACTGAGGGCCCCCCTACCTGTAAATTGCAGAGGGGGGCCCAGCAGCACACTCTGTCCTCCTTCCAGCTCCTCTCTTTCTAAATCTCCTGCGGCCGCCAGAGCTTTGCCACGGGTTACCATGGCAACGCTCCGCACAGCACGCAGGCCGGTCTCACGAGAGTTCGTCAGAGAGGAACTGGAAAGGAAGACAGTGTGCGCTGCTGGGCCCCCCTCTGCAATGTAACGCAGCTGGCTCTCTCCACCGGACCACCAGGGAATGCGATCTCCCCCCTCCCTGGCAAGGTAAGAACCAGGGAGGGGGGAATAAAATTTAAATTTGAAATATACACAAATATATATTTTTTAAATACTCCCCTCCCCCATACTTTACACAAACACTGCATCCTTACAAGCACACACACACTACATTCACTAAACACACCCTGCACTACACACTACATTCACTAAACACACTCTGCACTAAACACACACACTACATTCACTAAATACACACACTACATTCACTAAACACACACACTACACACACTCCATTCACTAAACACACACACTACACTCACTAAACACACTCTGCACTACACACACTACACTCACTAAACACACTCTGCATTACACACTAAACACACACACTACATTCACTAAACACACACACTACATACACTAAATACACTCTGCACTGCACACACTACATTCACTACACACATACACTACATTCACTAAACACACACACTACATTCACTAAACACACACTACATTCACTAAACACACTCTGCACTACACACACACACTACATTCACTAAATACACACACTACATTCACTAAACACACACACTACACACACTCCATTCACTAAACACACACACTACACTCACTAAACACACTCTGCACTACACACACTACACTCACTAAACACACTCTGCATTACACACTAAACACACACACTACATTCACTAAATACACTCTGCACTGCACACACTACATTCACTACACACACACACACACTACATTCACTAAACACACACACACTACATTCACTAAACACACACTACATTCACTAAACACACTCTGCACTACACACACACTACATTCACTAAACACACTCTGGACTACACATACACTACATTCACTAAACACTCTACACTACACACAGACTACATTCACTAAGCACACTCTGCACTACACAAACACTACATTCACTAAACACACTCTGCACTAAACACACACACTACATTCACTAAATACACACACTACATTCACTAAACACACACACTACACACACTACATTCACTAAACACACACACTACATTCACTAAACACACACACTACACACACTACATTCACTAAACACACTCTGCACTACACACTAAACACACACACTACATTCACTAAACACACACACTACATTCACTAAACACACACACTACATACACTAAATACACTCTGCACTGCACACACTACATTCACTACACACACACACTACATTCACTAAACACACACTACATTCACTAAACACACTCTGCACTACACATACACTACATTCACTAAACACTCTACACTACACACAGACTACATTCACTAAGCACACTCTGCACTACACAAACACTACATTCACTAAACACACTCTGCACTACACACACACTACATTCACTAAACACTGTGCACTACACACACACACACTACATTCTCTAAACACACTCTGCACTACACACACTACATTCACTATACACACGTTGCACTCACTACAGACACTACATTTACTAAACACACTTTGCACTCACTACAAACACTACATTCACTACACACACTCTGCATTCACCACAATCACACTACATTCACCATACACATTTTGCATTCACTACAATCACACCACACGAACTAAACACATTTTCACTCACTACAATCACTATACATACTTTGCACTCGCTGCAAACACACCACAATCACAATACACATATTGCATTCACCACAATCACACTACATGCACTATACACACTTTGCACTCACTACAAACACACTACATCCACTACAAAAATACACACTGCATTCACTGTACACACACTACATCCACTACAAAAACACACACTCTCCATTCACTGTACACACACTACATCCACTACAAAAACACACACTCTCCATTCACTGTACACACACTACATCAACACACACTCTGCATTCACTATACACACCTACATTCACTACACACACTCTGCATCTAATGCATGCATACAAACATTACATACATTACACAAAACGTACAATCTGCATCCACTATACACACTGCATCCATGACACACATACCACATCCACTATACACACTGCATCCATGACACTCATTCTACAGCCACTATACACACACACACACACACTTCATCCTTGTGGGCGGACTCAGGGCTGGCCCAGGGGGCCCGGATCTTGAGCTGTGTCAGGGGCCCTAAAATTTCTGGTGGCGGCCCTGCAGCATCCCTTCCTTTTTCATTGTCTGAGCTTTCAGCTGAGATTAACGATCAGCTCCTTCACTATGTTGCCATGGTTACTCACCTGAGAATAGTAATCAACCCTGATGCTAATCAGTGCAGCCTATTTAAGCAGCAAATCCCAGTACCTCCTTGCCCTTGCGTGGTTTCCTGTTCCCCAGAAGTCTCCTTGTTCCTGTGTTTCCTGTTTGTTCCTGGTTCCTGACTCTGGCCTTGTTCCTGACTTCGCTGATCTCCGTTCTCCTGATCCTGGCTCGTCTGATTACCCGCTCTGGTGACTGACCCCTGCTTGCCTCCTGGACTTTTCTTTTGGTTATTTCTTTGTTATTTATTAATAAAGGTGTTTTTGCATCTAGTTCTGTCTCTGTCTGGTTCCTGGTCCCTAACATTACGCAAGGGCCATGAATACAGATGATACAGGCAATACACCTATACCTAACCTATTTACCCGGTGGGACCAGCATAACCACCATTTGGACCAGTATGCTCATCTGGATCCAGCACCCGGCCAGCCTGTGATTGTGGCCGCCTCTGCCTCACTTCCTGTCCTAGCACCGGTTGCAGCCTCCAAACCTGTTGCGGCTTGAGGAATGACTGGGTCTGTCCCGCTCCCTCAGTATTTTGGGGGCAACCCAGCTCAGTGCAAAGAATTTGTAAATCAGGTTAAAGGATACCTTGAAATTCTTTGTCACCCACATTGTTATCAGACTCCGAGAGAGATCCTCATCCAGGGAGCGCCTGCGGAGGCCTCCTGTATATTTGGCACAGAGCTTTTCTTGCCCACCCAAACCTCCCCATGCCTCCTGGTCCTGAGCCCTCTGTCAGTGTGGAGCTGAGGCGGTTAGGCTTCTCACGCCTCTCTGTCGAGGATAGAGCCTTTAGGAGGAGGGCGGGCCTGTGCTTATACTGCGGACACCAGGGTCACATGTTAAAGTTTTGCCCGATTCGTCCGGTAAAGGGCCCGCACCCAAGATACTGTCAGGGGCAGATCTTGAGTGGTCTTTCTGCAGACGCAGAGATATATGAGGACAAACTCTTAGTGCCTATTATCCTCTCCTGGCCTCATTCATCCATTAAAACTCAGGCATTGCTTGATTCTGGGGCCGCAGGCTCGTTTATAGACTGTGCGTTTGCATCGGCGCACTCTATACCCTTACAGCCTCGCAACTCTCCACTTGCTTTCAAAGCCATCCATGGCAAACCAATACAGCCAACCCACGTGCCCCAGGAGACCGTGCCCATTTCTCTGGCTGTAGGGACTCTACATCATGAGACGATCCAATTCCAGGTCATTTCCTCTCCATATTACCAGGTTGTTTTGGGATACCCTTGGCTACAGAAGCATAACCCCACAATTGATTGGCGCAAATCTGAGATATTGTCTTGGTCCCAGCAATGCACATTTTCTTGTCTCCGGAAATCGGTCAAAGTTTTGGGCACATTTTCTGCCTCTTCCTTACCCGCTGAGTACCACGAATTCCAAGATGTATTTGACAAGGGTCAAGCCAGCATTCTGCTGCCACACCGTCCGTATGACTGTGGTATCGAACTCCAACCTGGTGCCATTCCTCCCGTGGCAGGATCTACCCGCTGTCGGTAGCAGAGAATCGAGCCATGGAGGAGTATGTTACCAATGCGTTGTCAAGGGGATTCATTCGGAAGTCATCTTCTCCTGCCGGGGCCAGCTTTTTCTTTGTGAAAAAGAAGAGTGCTGAGTTGAAAACCCTCTATCGACTATAGGGGTCTCAATCGCATTACTATTAAGAATGCCTACCCCATTCCGTTGATCACAGAGTTATTCGACTGCCTCAAGGGAGCAACGGTCTTCACTAAACTTGATCTGAGAGGGGCATATAATCTCGTCCGGATAAAAGAGAACCATGAATGGAAAACCGCATTTAACACCAGGAGCAGGCATTACGAATACCTAGTAATGTCCTTTGGTCTTTGCAATGCTTCGGCAGTTTTCCAGGAATTTATAAATTATGTCCTGCGAGATATGCTGCAGAAATGTGTGGTGGTTTATCTTGACGATATTCTTATTCATTCCACATCTCTCGAGAACCATAACGCAGATGTTTCTCGTGTTCTACAGAGACTCAGAGAAAATAATCTGTTCTGTAAATTGGAGAAATGTGAGTTCAACTGCAAACAGGTCACATTCTTGGGCTATGTTATCTCAGATGCTGGATTCTCTGTGGGTCCAGAGAAACTTTCTGCTGTACTACAATGGCCTCGACCTACGGGTCTTCGCTCTATACAGCGTTTTCTTGGCTCCGCCAATTATTATCGGAAGTTCATACGCAACTTTTCTTCCTTGGTTAAACCTCTCATGGATATGACCAGGAGAGATGCTGATCCACAGCATTGGTCACAGAAAGCCATTACTGCCTTTGAGTCTCTCAAAGTCGCCTTTGCTGCTGCTCCTATACTGGCACACCCTAACCCTGCCTTACCATTCATTATTGAAGTCGATGCGTCTGAGACAGGAGTAGGCGCCCTCCTGTCTCAACGTCCTAACTCAGAGAGCTCCAGGCATCCGTGTGGGTATTTCTTAAAGAAGTTGAATCCAACGGAGTGCAATTACCAGATTGGTGATAGAGAACTTCTAGCTATAATTTTAGCTCTCAAAGAATGGAGGCACCTTTTTGAGGGTACTTCAGCGCCAATTCTCATCCTCACAGACCACAAGAAGCTTACATATCTTTCCGAAGCCAAGCGGCTTTCCCCCCAGCAAGCTAGATGGGCTCTCTTCATATCAAGATTCAATTATGAGGTTTCTTACTTGCCTGGTACTAAAAACATTCGGGCTGATGCTTTGTCTCAACAGTTTTCCCCTCCATCTAGAGAGGAGATAACCCCTACTCCTGTGATTCCTCCGGACCGTATACTGGCCGTCATCCGCACTAACCTCACCTCACGAGGAGATTCTGGCTGCACAAATTAATGCTCCTCCAGAGAAACCTAATGGCCGATGTTTTGTACCCATTCATCTCCGTACTAAATTATTAAGTACATATCACAACCCCAAAGCAGCTGGACATCCAGGCAAAAAACAGTTAATCTGGTCCATCTCTCTGCAATTTTGGTGGCCTAGTCTCCATTCGGATGTCACCGCTTTTGTAGCTGCCTGTCCTGTATGCGCTCAAAATAAAACCCCACGACACCCTCCAGTGGGTCTCCTGCAAACCATACCTAATGGTGAACGACCCTGGACTCACTTGTCCATGGACTTTATCGTAGATCTTCCGGTCTCCAGTGGCAATACAGTCGTTCTCATGGTTGTTGACCGATTTTCTAAGATGTCACATTGCGTTCCCTTGAAATAACTACCAACTTCTCAAGAACTAGCAAAATTTTTTGCTCAGGAGGTCTTTCGTTTGCATGTGTTACCCAAAGTAATAATCTCGGATGGGGTAGCCAGTTTGTGGCCAGATTTTGGAGAGCTTTTAGCACACAGATGGGAATTCAGCTTTCCTTCTCCTCGGCCTACCACCCACAATCCAATGGTGCTGCAGAACGAGCTAACCAAGCCTTGGAACAGTTTCTGCATTGCTACATTTCTGACCACCAGAACAACTGGTCTGATCTACTACCCTGGGCGGCGTTCGCCCACAATAGTGCGATTAATGCCTCTTCCCGGCTATCCCTGTTCTTGGCGAACTATGGGTTTCAACCGTCCATGTTGCCTGATACGTTCATGCCACAAGGGATACCGTTATTGGAGGAACATCTCAGGGAACTCCGTTCGACTTGGGTGCAGGTTGCAACGCGCAATGCAGAACAACAAACTCCAGGCCGACCGCAGACGCCTTCCTGCACCTACCTATCAGGTCAGAGAAAGGGTCTGGCTGTCTTCTCGCAACCTACGGCTCCGTGTTCCCTCACAAAAACTGGCAACCTGATACGTTGGGCCATTTCGTATACTTCGAAGGGTTAACCCTGTATCTTACGCAAGTGACCTTCCTGCTAGCATGCGCATCTCGAATGTATTCCATGTTTCCCTCTTGAAACCGTTGGTATTTAATCGTTACACCACCTCAATGCCACGTCCACTTCCTGTTATGGTTGACAATCATGAGGAATATGAAATACGCAGCATCATTGACTCACGAGTCTTCAGAGGACAGATCCAATACTTGGTGCACTGGAAAGGGTACGGTCCAGAGGAACGCTCCTGGGTTCCAGCCTCTGATGTCCATGCACCATCCCTCCTTTGTTCCTATCACGCCCGCTTCCCCATAAAGCCTGGACCCACCAGCAGATATGGGGGGAGTCGTTGAGGGGGATGTACTGTCAGGGTTTCTTTGCTGTTTTAATCAGCAACCCTTCCTTTTTCAGTGTCTGAGCTTTCAGCTGAGATTAACGATCAGCTCCTTCACTATGTTGCCATGATTACTCACCTGAGAATAGTAATCAACCCTGCTGCTAATCAGTTCAGCCTATTTAAGCAGCAAATCCCAGTACCTCCTTGCCTTTGCGTGGTTTCCTGTTCCCCAGAAGTCTTCTTGTTCCTGTGTTTCCTGTTTGTTCCTGGTTCCTGACTCTGGCCTTGTTTCTGACTCCGCTCCGCTCCGTTCTCCTGATCCTGGCTCGTCTGACTACCCGCTCTGGTGACTGACCCCTGCTTGCCTCCTGGACTTTGCTTTTGGTTATTTCTTTATTTGTTATTTATTAATAAATGTGTTTTTGCATTTAGTTCTGTCTCTGTCTGGTTCCTGGTCCCTAACACAGATCTATGATATTTAACCTTTTCAATGATTCAGAGCTATTCCTAAGGCTATTTTTTCTGGCTGAGTGAGCAGAAAGACAAACTGTAATACAAATACAGAATACAGTCATACCCACAACTTAGCTTTCATCTGCCTTTATCTTTTTGTAAGGGGTGAGATCAGGTACTCCAAATCGTAATTTATTTATTTTAATATTATTGATAGCAAATTCTTATTAAATTAAGGTGGTAGCACTAAGTGGAACCCATCACAGAAGCAATGCTAAAACATAATCTTATAATTTATTAATAAAAAAACAACACACATTTAGGAATTCTACAAAGAGAAGGAAGATGTTTTTCTCTGATGTAGATGGTGGAATTTGGATCTAAATTTAGAACCCATTAGCGAAGTTGAAAAATACTGTTATTTTTATTTGTTACGAACCATAACTTCATATCATACTTCAATAATCATAACTTGTATCAAAACCCTTATTTTACTTTTTTTAATTTTTCCAAAACACAATATTTTCAAGGCATTGAGCAGTTATACAAACAGAATTCCGTCATACCCCCAACTAGCAATTTGGAAATGTTTATAGTTTTGAACTATCATATTAAGCTTCAGTAACATTGAACAAATTAATGAGAAGGGATAATTATTCCCAATGTATACATATGTTGTTTCTATAACATTAATGGGTTTATTCAATATAATAGGCCTCCCAACTTTTGATGGGACAGTCTCGATTTTAAGGGTCCTATCCCACCATCTCGCTTCAGTTCCCTGGTGTCCCGCATCTGGAGACAGAAGTAAAGTGTCCCTGGGCAGCAAAAGAGTGCACCATTAGATGTACTCGCACTGTGACTCTGCCACTAGGACCATGCCAGGAGTGCTTTGGCAGTGCTCCTTGCATGGTCCTGTAGGCTGGTGGCCGGTCAGGCAGCCTATCAGTAGGTGGGTCCTCCCCTTTTCCAGACGGGTCTGCCGATTATGGGCATCAATAGGGACGTGGATCACATCACTGGCAAAACCCGCTCAGAACTCGTCACTCCACCAAGATTCTCCTCTCCTGATTGATGGGAGGTATACTATAACATGCAGTGCGGAAATTTACATTTTATTTGAGTTTTAGCCAAAATGAAAACTTGAGCTGCTCACTTACTTTTCCATCTCAGCTTTTTTGCCTCAATATTTGAGGTTCATCTCAATTACTAGTTTATTGAATAAGACTCAGTCTAACAGATTGTTATATTGAACACCAAACTTTAGTGAACTGACAACTTAATTGGCTAAAATATCCAAAATGTCACTATACTTGAAATGTAGAATTTTTCCTAATCAGCTACTGGAGCCAGCAATTTGCAATTCAGTTTTTAATTGATTACAATTTGGTGTCTTATGATTTACTAAACTAGGTAATTAATCATAGAATTGCAAATTTATGCAAAAAAGTACTGGGGTATGTTTCCAGTTTGGCTGTCTTGTGTTAAAACTGATATTCCTCACTTCGTTGATTAGTAAATAACCCAGTTAGGCTTACCTGCTGCTGTACAAGATGACCCCATCCGGTTGCAATCGAATTAGTTTGTTTTCCACAGTTACGTCATGGAACCAGGCAGACTTGGAATTTACAATGAATGTATCTGGAATCCAAATCTTCTCAACAAAACGACAGTCGAAGCCAAGAGTTTTTTGTGTGTAATTGTAAGAGAGCCTCTCATCCCTCCAGCTCTGTCGCAAAAAAACAGTCATTGTGTATTCCTAAAAAAACAAACATAATAAATCCATAAAATGATTTCAGCTCAGCTTGCAAAAATACAGTGTTAAAACATCCCAGAACAACCATAGCATTCGTGATCCTACATTTACATTGCAATTACTGATGCCTGATACTTTAGTTTCCACTTTCTCAACTTGGTATATCTGTTTCTTGCTGTAGATGTCAGAGATCTAAAAAACAACTTTACTCATGATTAATTTATAACTGTATTATATATCCCTACTATACATGTAGCAATGTATTGATAATTGTACTGTATTTGCCTCCTAATATATGTGTAATAATGTTGCTTCTTTGGACAAACGTGAATATTAGAGAGTTCTCAATGTGTTCTTCCTGGTAAAATGTTTTCATAAATAAACAAACTATTCTGGTAATGATCTTAAAGAGACCCTTCAAGCACCATAACCACTCAAGCTTAATGTAGTGGTTTTGGTGCAAAGAGGCTACCCCTGCAATTTCAGCAATGTAAACATATACAATGTAATCTAAATTATAGACGTTGTGGGGCTCTTTAATCCTGGATCTCTACAGATGATGGGTGGTGCTGGAGGATATTGGTGTTTTTTAGTTTTAATTTTACATCAGAGAACTGGGCCAGGGTACTCCTGACAGCAAAACCACTGCAGTGAGCTGTAATAGTTATGGTGCTTGGAGTAACCCTTAAAGGCTTCAATTTTTTCCCCAAAATCCTTCTCAGTTCTTGGACCATCTGAATCAGTGATGTGGTTTATATCTTGGCTACAAATTCACACATATGTCTATCCAGAAAAATTACCCAAAAGGTGTAACCCTTATCTTCATCTAAGCCCAGTATGCATACGATAAAACCTGCAGACCACTTTCTCCACTTTATTCTTGTTCATTTCAGCTCTAGTGAAACAGTGACCTAAAAAATTAAATGGATCAAATTGGAATCACTGATGATCATACACTATTATTCCCAGATTTTGTATATAAAATAGAAAGATTTTATGCAGATTCTTAAGATGCAAAACCTGTATAGGGACCTGCACTAATTTTAGTTGTTATTTTTTTCATGTTTTTTTTATTTCTTTAAGTCTCTGTTTCAGCAGCAGTTCAACTAAATAAGTGATATATGTTTATTCTTGGTTGTATTTTACGTTTTAAATATTTCAGCACTGAGGATGATCCACTGCATTCTAGCTTGTGCCGTCTGAATGACCATCATGGAAAGGCGTGCCACTGGAACGATGGTACCTTATTCAGATGTTGTAGAATCCCAAGGCCCAATGATCAATAACATAATAGAAGAATATATCCTGTTCACGGTAGCAGGTGCATGGTGGCAAAACTAATGTTTATATTATGAGATCAGCTCATAAGGTAGGTTGCCGTGGCAGACATTATTATTTTATCATTTATATAGAGCCATAAAATTCTGTAGCGATGTACAATGGGGTTACCTAAAAATTACAATGACATAGAGAAAATCATCTGATGTCTATGAAAACCGCTGTTATGTTGATAGGTACAACTTCGGGGTATTTTAAACACAGCTTTTTTTCCCCAGCTGTTTTACTAATTTGGTGATATGCCGCCAATATTGAGTTACCAAAGGCAATTAAACACAGTCATAACGTCAGTTTTTAATATATCAACCCTTAATACTTTCAATGCTCATAAACAGGCAGCCAGAATAAAAGCTGTCAAAGCTTGAATTTGCAATGCCTGTACAAATATTTATGTTAACTGTCTCACATTAAGTAATACGTATATAAAATATATTACTGCTTGGTTAAATGATAGCGTTATAAAAAGCATTGTTCTAATGTGTAATTGCTTCCTTTCTAACAGGGATACAATAAATATTTTTGGGATGATGCATAGGGCATCATCAGTAGAATCCAAAATACCTTGCTTAACCTACTTTTGAAGGTTCAAAATGTTTTGCATTGTAACTCAGAAATCAATTAGACGGACACTCTTGGTACCAGGACAACTATCGTTCTACAACCCTTTTTTTTATATCCACGCCCAGCTCCCTTTCTGTACCTCCATTTTAGCCCGCAGTGTCCAGTTACATAGGATAGAACAGCAAAGGTTTCGGGGAATTGGAATTCAGCTTATAGTTTTCATTGGAAGAAATCTGATAACTGCACCATAAGTCCCAGAATCCCTGATCTGAGCAGAATTGTGACCATGCATAGAACCAGTACTTAGCATACACAGTGTAGGTAAAAAGACAGATTGTCAAAAAGATTAGTGAGTGATTTATTTTTTTGTGTATGCTAATCACATAACTAATAAGGTACTTGTGACAAACACATATTATTTCCAGATCTAAGAAGTTGTTGCATTTTGCAAATTGTGGCATTTGAACATGGACTGTTACCGTGTCCACTGTGCCCTTGTTATACTCTTCGTTTCCAAACCAAGCGCACACCTTTTTCACTTCCATCCACTTACCAAGAAAGAATGTTAAGCATTGCGAGTACATCTATCATGAAAGTGGCTGTATGTAAACATGCATACAAGTCAGATGTCTCTCTAATTTCTCTATTTTAATTGCTAATAGACTACAATTCATATGGGGGCACAAGGGGGACCTCCAGATATTATTTAACGCATTATTTAACCTATTTATGTAACTACCTGTTTGGGTTAGTTCATTATCTGGCTGAAGACAAAAATCAGAAGACAGAATACTCACAATCACAATCTCATCTAAATTCATTTCAAAGCATTTCTCCCAGGCTACCTGCCAACCTTTATCAATAGGTTTAACCCCTTAAGGACCAAATTTCTGGAATAAAAGGGAATCATGACATGTCACACATGTCATGTGTCCTTAAGGGGTTAAGGGGTTAAATAAATGTTACCATTGTTTTTATTGCCTTCTAATCAAACATACCAAAATAAAAAATGCCATTTAACTACGGCTTTATACCATAATATGGCGGTGTCTGTTGTCCATAATATCAGAATAGTTTATGTGTAGTTACATAGGCTGAAAAGAGACATGTGTCCATCAAGTTCAGCCTTCCTCACATCTGTTTTTTGCTGTTGATCCAAAAGAAGGCAAAAAAAAACAATTTGTGTAAATAGATAAACAGTTGAGCTCTTTGGAAATAGAAGCATAAATATTTAGAAACTTACCATGTTCACTTCAGAAATGTGGTCAATACTGGTGACTTCAATGTCGACAGCAACATTCACTGGAGGACCTATCAAGTCAAATATTGGAAAACATTTACAATAAATAGTTGGTTTTTTTTTTACAAATAAATTGCCAAATGTACACATCCATATATTCTACTAGAACACTACATACTGACATTGATTAATTTTAAAACCGGGAGTGGGCTCAAGATGTAACAATTTTAAGAAGAACATCGGAGAAATATTCCCTTGGGGATTTAGTAAAACAAGCACTGGTCCAACATGACTTACTCTATGCAAATTCACTGGATAGGATGCACCATGACTGTGTATTAAGTTGGACCCACAGATCCTTAGCCAGCCCTGTAATGTAGTGAGTAAGCCCCAAAATCAGATATTTTTAAAAGTGAATTTCTTCGAAGGCAGACTCATCCTCAAATGAGCTAGAGCGGAGTAAAATGTTATATTTTATAGATGATGAATGTAGCGGACCCCGGGTAACCCGACCAGTTACCTCATCTAATTAATTCCTTCAGCCACTCTTGAACTATCAAATTAAACATCAAATTAAACAGACCTCCATCCAGGGGTTTCTATCCCAGGATCCTCTGTACCTGGGAACCCGGGCATTGGAAAAGGGACCTAGTCTCTTTGTCTCCCAGGTACAGAAAGCCCGCCCCACATACAAGAGGTCTCCCCCACCAAATGACAGGGGTCTTCATCCCAGGATCCTCTGCGTCTGGGAGCCTGGGCGTGGGAAAAGAGACCTAGTTTTTTTGTCTCCCAGTCATAGAAAGCCCGCCAAACTAGCCAGTGCCCCAAAAAAGTTTCCCCACCAACCCTATGAACCTGCACACGTACATTTCCCCGACCAGTCTCCGTTTGCGCGGCTCTTGTGTGAACCCCAGGCAAGAGAAGTGTCTCCTTTCAGGATACAAATGCTCCCCCCTGTTGGTGTTCATCTATACGGAATGGCGGCCACCCAGGGGAGCACCCATTAATTACTTCCCTTGCGGTTTCACACTTAAGTTACGGGTGTGAACGTTCTAATTAATTGTGTGTTAACATTCTAATGGGGTACCGGGGTGGTCTCCGTTCGGGAGACAAATGGGTTCTGTTCGTATGGATGCTCTCGAACAGAAGAACAAGGCACAGCACACGTAATACAGGGGAAAATGCACAATACAAGGGGAAAAGTACAAATAAACAGTGGTTCTGCTACAATGAACATGTGCAGTTCTCTATAAATAGATTTTAATTGTTTTCTATTAGACAATTAAACCCTCACTAGTACATTACATTCTATCCACCTAAAATAAGAATTCTTGGAAATTTAAAGAGACTTCAAAGTAAATTTAACATCGAAGACTAAAATACCTGAACTTGAACCATACTGGACTTAATGAATATTTTACAGTTTGACTATTTTGACTTACAATTTGAAAATAATTTTGAATTAAATTTGAATTTCTGACTATTCTCACGTAAGTGAAAACCCTCTTGCCTCAATTGTAGTCCATATCACCCACACTACAACACCTTTCCAATTACAGCCCCCCTACTACAGCCCAGATTGTACTCATGAAATAATATGCAATCTTTTCATACCTCCAATCCCAGGTCTAAAATGCCTTGCATATCCCTTCATCAATCCATCTAAGTTGGGTATCCATGCTATCTCAATGTTGGAGCCAATATAACCACCAATATCTTCAGTACCACTGTAAAAACAAAATATGTGTCATACCAAACATATGAAACAAACTACTACTATGTGCTACTTGAAGGATAGACTCTATTATGGCTAACTACCAACTGGCCACTAGAGGGCGATCATACTCCTGCATTGCATTCTTGCGTTTGTTGAGGTTTTGTATCTCATTTATGATATAATGATATGGATAATGTCCAAATATTATGTGGATTTGGGAAAATATTGGAGCTCATTGTTGGATTCTGTTTGCAAAGAGAAGTCATGAGAACTTACTCAGTTTTATGTGTAAAGGACACCAAGCTGTTTAGTTCAACTTCTTGAATTCCTACTTAAAGGACACTTTAATCAGCAGAACAACTACAACTTAATGTAGTGGTTCTGGTGTCTGTAGCCTGTTCCTGCAGACTTTTTGAAGTAAACATTTCCTTTTCAGGATAAGGCAGTGTTTACAATGCTGCCCAGTAAGACCTCCTGTGGCAATTCTTCAGACAGACACAAGAGGTGCTTCCTGGGTCATTGCTTCACAGTGTGCAGCACTGACATTTAGCGTCTACATGCTCTGCATGGAGACATTGAACTTTCCTCATAGAGATGCATTGATTCAATACATCTTTATGAGGAGATGCTGATTGGGGCAGCTTGGCATTTTGCTGTGCATTGGATTGGCTAAAATCGTTAAATTTGATGATCTCAGCCATGGAGGTGGGGCGAGCCACAGCAATATCAGCGCGACACTAGAGAAAAGGTAAGTAAAAAAACTTTTCATGGAGGGTGGAATCTGACCTTTCAGCCAGCTAGACGTCTGTTGCAGAGGCTCCCACATCTCTTGATGATTTTTGTGAATTACCCCCAACCACCGAGATGATTCAAGCAACACAGTGCACTACCCAAGTCGGGACTGCCTGAGAGCCCTAGGTGCATCATAGCGGCCTGTGGGCAGGGCCGCGACCAGAAGTTTTTGGGCCCCTAACTCAGCTCAGGGTCTGGGCCCCCCTGGGGCCCGCCTCCAAGTACCGCCCACTGGGCCCGCCTCCAAATACCGCCCACAGGAATAAACACACAGACACAAACACACACACTGATACAAAAGGACACAGATACATACTAACAGACACACATACTGAAACAGACATACATGCATACAGGCATACATAGTGACACACACATACTAAGACATACACACAGGCATACATAGTGACAGAGAGACACATACTAACATACATACAGACACACATGCATGAGGACATAAAGACACATACAAACAGACACCAACATACAGACATACTGACAGACATACAGACACTGACATCCATACACACATACAGACATACACAGACATACATTCATAATGGCATACAGACATACATACATACATACATGCATACATTCAGACTGACATACATGCATATATACAGACATACATGCATACAGACATCCATAAACACATACACACAGACATACGTTCATATTGATATGCAGACATACAGACATACAGACATACATATATAATGACATACAGACATACATATATACATACATAGACATACAGACAGACAGACATACATGCATACAGACATACATGCACACACACAGACAGACATACACACAGACATACACACAGACCTGCATACAGTCAGACAGACAGACATGCATACATACATAGACATACATGCATATATACAGACATACAGACAGACAGACAGACATGCAGACATACAGACAGACATATACATACACAGACATACAGACAGACAGACATCCATGCATACAGACATACAGACAGACATACAGACAAACACATACATTCACAGACATACAGACAGACATACACATACAGATATACAGACAGACAGACATACACGCATGCATACAGACAGACATATATAGACAGACAGACATACATACACATACATACACATACATGCATACAGACAGACAGACATGCATACAGACACACACACACACAGCTCATTTTCCAGCCACCCTCCTGTATCTTACTTTTTCTTTGCAGAAGGGTGGCTGGGGATGATGGGAGTTGGCGCGGCTCCCTCTTCACTGCCTGGCTCTCCCTTTTCACCGGCGCGCACTACTCCCACGCGGAGTGATCTGGGAGGCAGTGACCACTTCCTCCCAGCAGCACTTGCGCTGCTTTTTTTTTATTAAAGGGGCCCAGTCGCGCTATACCACGGCCATACCGCTGACCGGGCCCCTGAAGATATAGGGCCCATCGGGTGGCCCTAAGTGTGTGGATACATGCATACATACAGACATACATACATGCATACAGACAAACATACAGACAGACATACATAGACATACATACATACATACAGACATACATACACATACCGTTATGGTTGTCTCATGGTAAGTATGCAAATTAGCACAATAATCATTAGTAATGAAGATTTTAAACAAGTGATTGCACAGCAAAGACAGAATGCTAGAGGTGACTAAGGTAATTCCGGTCATTCATTGTCTGGATATATAGTTGTGTGTGTGTACGGTGTGTGTATATATAAAACACTGAAGTGTTGCTGAGTCTTCTTTGCCAACTTCCATCTCCCCTTTTCTTCTTAAATTAATGAACATTATCCCAGCTCCACTCTGCCCCGTGGGAGAGTCATTATTACCGGTGATCCCCTTGCCAATGCTTCTCATAGAGAGAGGCATTGGTGCGCAGGGCGCTAGGCGGCAAGCCCAACGCTGTACCTGCAATGCTTCTCAAAGAGAAGCATTGAATCCAATTGATAGTTGGAGGGTGAAACTTTGCAATCTGGAGAGTGGGACTTTAGGGGTTGGAGTATTCCTTTAATGTTACATTTTAAAACATACATACACAATATTTATAACCACTGCTGTACTTGCATTATTGATCTCCCCGCCTTTAATAACAGAAACTGTAAAAGTGCCAAGTAAACAAGTTAGCACCAAGAATATTAAAATCAAAGTATTAAACGAGAAAGAGTATACATACAGGATAATTCACTACAGTGCTAATTGTCAACGTGACTTTTAAATTTAAGGCGAAATAGGCGTATCAGAAAAATTCTAAAGAAAACAGTAATGATTCAAATCACTTTTTCAATTAACATTTCACCCCTTCAGCATCTGAATTTATCCTTCAGTACACAAATATCCCACAGATACATTAAATGCAAACAAACTATAACAAACTGTATTAAGCACTGCTTTGAGAGTAATGAATCCGTCATTATGTCTTATATTTTTATAGACAAAAAAATACTACATTGCCTGTTTTCTACAGCCCCTGAAATCGTCCACCTTAAATCACATGAATACAATTAGTTGCCATTGAGAATTTTCTTAGAAATATTTTCAACCCATGACAAATATGTAATAGAGATGTACATTACCTGGTACACATGAGCTGTGGGATACAGGTTACAATAAGAAACAGCAGGGTCCATGTAAAGAATACCATGATTTAAAATTACAAGCTTGAAGTTAAGTCCATCACTATGCTACAACACTTATTCTCTCTTGAGAAGTTGATAGTGAGCTTGATATCGGACGAGGATCAGGATTCCAATTTGCACAGAACAAGACTCAGTTGCCTAGTAGTGGAGAGGACCACCAGCCCTCAGTTCTTATGTTTTGGCAGTCTGTTCCTATCATTGATGCTCCAATGCTTCCTGACTGCTGACTCTTAACCAATAAGAATATGCCAGCATTATGTCATTGAACAGGTACCAGCAGTCACTGAGATGCTTAAATTAGAGGATTTGCAAAGGAACATTAAATAATGTGACTATATTTTTGCACATGTTCCTTCATGTGCCACTTTAGCAGAATATGGAAAAAGACAAATTAATTATTATAAGAGCGGTATGTCGTAATAATGCTCTAATATAGAAATATTTCTATCTCACAGTTGATCTACCGGTGTTATCAAATGTAGATCTTATATGAAAATCATTTACGTGTTCTCCTGATTTGAATGCAGTAGTGCATTTGAAATGATAAAATGTTTTTCATTTTAAAATTAAAATTGTAGATGTATGGATTTGGGAGACATAAAAGCTTTATGGATTCACGTAGGACGTAACAATAGATGCCATTATGTGAAAGCTTCGCTTGCAAAGAGTTGTGGTCTTATTCAGATTTGTATGCTCATTTGCAAGTTATCGTTTGCCTGCTCTTTGCAAATGATAATTTGAAGTACTGTTAGCACATAGACAGCTGTCACATGTTTGGGGTGAATGGGCTCGGTATGCAGAGATTTTATACGGACACATTCACTGAATTAAAAGGTTTTATTTTAAAAACAAATAAATATAATACAAGGGTCCCAATGCAAGTATAAACGGTAAATAAAGCAATTCCTTCATAAGAAATAAAAGTCTTTAAGGAAAAATAAAGTCCTTTTACCAGAGTTCCAGCACTTGGTAAACGAAGAGAAACTTGATTGAAGCTGTAGTTGAATTGCAGGAAATAAAATCACAGCTTGGACAGCGTTGCAGGAGTTAGCCAAAGTTGAATCAGCATTGCAGGGGTTAACCAGGATTGAATTAGCACTGCAGGGGTTAATCAAGGTTGTAGGCAGGTTCCAGGCAGAAAAGAGTTGATTCAGGTGAATTCCACAGGTAAGGGTAGTCAACTCACTTCAGTTGGGAGCTGGCTCTGTACTCAAGGGGAACAACAAAAGAACTGAGCACAGACCCTAGGGCAGTGATGGCGAACCTACGGCACGCGTGCCACAGGTGGCACGACGGGCCCTCTCTGTGGGCACGTGGCCATAGGTCGCCGGGAAAGGGAGCCGCTTTCTGTCTGCAGAGTAGGCACCTGCCTGCCCGAAACGGCAGGCGCCTACTCTGCTTCCGTGTTGGGAGACAGGGGGAGGGCTCTAGGAAGCAGCTCTCCTGTCCTCCCGCGCAATGCTGTGTGGAGCGTTGCCGCGCGTTACCATGGCAATGCTCCACACAGTCGTGCGGGAGTACAGGAGAGCTGCTTCACACAAACCTACTTACCACCACCGGACCACCAGGGATAGCTGTGTGTCCCCCCCCACTCCTTCACCAAAGGTAAGAGGAAGGGAGGGGGGGATACAGAATGAATAAATATATATTTTTTAATGTACCCCTACCCCACACACAGCACCCTACCCGCCCACACTCAGCACCCCCCCATACATCACCCTACCCCCCACACACAGCACCCCTTCCCACACACATAGCACCCCTACCCCGCACACGAACAGCACCCGCACACAAACAGCACCCGCACACACACAGCACCCCCACACACACACTGCATCCCTCAGACACACACACTGCACCCCTCAGACACACACACACTGCACCCCTCAGACAGACACACACACAGCACCCCTCAGACAGACACACACACACACACAGCACCCCTCAGATGGACAGACACACACACACAGCACCCCTCAGACAGACACACGCAGCACCCCTCAGACAAACACACACAGCATCCCTCAGACACACACACAGCATCCCTCAGACACATACACACACAGCACCCCTCACACACACACACACAAACACACAGCACCCCTCACATGCACAGCACCCCTCACACGCAAAGCACCCCTCACACGCACAGCACTCCACACCCTTACACACAAACACATACACTGCACCCCTTAATGCAATATGTGTGTGTGTATTCAGCAGTCTGTGTGTGTGTATTCAGCAGTCTGTCTGTGTGTGTGTGTATTCAGCAGTCTGTGTGTTTGTGTATTCAGTAGTCTTTGTGTGTGTGTATTTAGCAGACTGTGTGTGTGTGTATTCAGCAAACTGTGTGTGTGTACTCAGCAGACTGTGTGTGTGTGTACTCAGCAGACTGTGCGTGTGTACTCAGCAGACAGTGTGTGTGTGTGTGTACTCAGCAGTCTGTGTGTACCCAGCAGTCTGTCTGTCAGCACCCCTCACACACACAGCACCCCTCACACACACACAGCACTCCATACCCTTACACACAAACACATACACTGCACCCCTTAATGCAGTATGTGTGTGTATTCAGCAGTCTGTGTGTGTGTATTCAGCAGTCTGTCTGTGCGTGTGTGTATTCAGCAGTCTGTGTGTTTGTGTATTCAGCAGTGGGAGTACAGGAGAGCTGCTTCACACAAACCTACTTACCACCACCGGACCACCAGGGATAGCTGTGTGTCCCCCCCACTCCTTCACCAAATGTAAGGAAGGGAGGGGGGGGATACAGAATTAATAAATATATATTTTTTAATGTACCCCTACCCCCCACACCACACCACCCCTACCGCCCACACACCACACCACCCCTACACAGCACCCCACCACACATCACCCTACCCCCCACACACAGCACCCCTTCCCACACACACAGCACCCCTACCCCGCACACAAACAGCACCCGCACACACACAGCACCCCCACACACACACACTGCATCCCTCAGACACACACACTGCACCCCTCAGACACACACACACTGCACCCCTCAGACAGACAAACACACACACTGCACCCCTCAGACAGACACACACACACACACACACAGCACCCCTCATATGGACAGACACACATACACAGCACCCCTCAGACAGACACACGCAGCACCTCTCAGACACACACACACAGCATCCCTCAGACACACACACACAGCATCCCTCAGACACATACACACACAGCACCCCTCACACACACACACAAACACACAGCACCCCTCACACACACAGCACCCCTCACACGCACAGCACCCCTCACACGCACAGCACTCCACACCCTTACACACAAACACATACACTGCACCCCTTAATGCAGTATGTGTGTGTGTATTCAGCAGTCTGTGTGTATTCAGCAGTCTGTATGTGCGTGTGTGTATTCAGCAGTCTGTGTGTTTGTGTATTCAGCAGTCTTTGTGTGTGTGTATTCAGCAGACTGTGTGTGTGTGTATTCAGCAGACTGTGTGTGTGTGTATTCAGCAAACTGTGTGTGTGTACTCAGCAGACTGTGTGTGTGTGTGTACTCAGCAGACAGTGTGTGTGTGTACTCAGCAGTCTGTGTGTACTCAGCAGTCTGTCTGTCAGCACCCCTCACACACACAGCACCCCTCACACACACAGCACTCCACACCCTTACACACAAACCTTAATGCAGTATGTGTGTGTGTATTCAGCAGTCTGTCTGTGTGTGTGTGTATTCAGCAGTTTGTGTGTTTGTGTATTCAGCAGTCTTTGTGTGTATGTATTCAGCAGACTGTGTGTGTGTGTGTATTCAGCAGACTGTGTGTGTGTGTGTACTCAGCAGACTGTGTGTGTACTCAGCAGACAGTGTGTGTGTGTACTCAGCAGTCTGTGTGTACTCAGCAGTCTGTCTGTATGTGTATTTAGCGGCTGGTATGTGAATGTGTTTAGCAGTCTGTGTGTATGTATTGCATTTGTTGGAGATACTAATAAATATAAGCTTAATTTTATCTATTTATATCATTATTTAAATTTTTTATCATTTAACTCTCTGTTGTGTTCTTCTTTTAATACAAAGTTGTTAATTAGTTCTGACAACTGTACAAGTTGTTTTTTCTAAACTTAAACCTCAGTATTCAGGTTTAATTGCCGTGTTGGCACTTTGAGGGAAAAAAAGTTGGCATGTGGTTTGGACACTCGGGCTCAAAAAGGTTCGCCATCACTGCCCTAGGGTTATCTGTGCTTAAATAGGGGAAAGGGAATGGGAGCCCTCCCATGAGGAGGGTGTCTATACGCCTATATGTTATTTATATATTTTTTTAAATACATTTCTAAGGCCCACCAAGGCTTCCCACCTTTGGGAGAGCTGGTGTTGGGGTCCAGTAAGTCCTCTCCCTGGGGTCTAGTATTGGGCTGCTCGAACCTTTTTGTTATTTCTCATTGCTCCCTCACTCGCCATTTAGTGATACAGGGGCTGGAGTGATTTAAAATTCTGGCTCCCGGCATCACGCGAGGAAGCAGTGAGGAAGAGCAGAAGCATCAAATAGTCAAAGAAGGATACTTTATTTATTTTAGGGGTGTGACTAGGGTTGGGGCTGTTCTGAGAAAGTTAAAGGGACACGATAAGCACCCAGACCCAGGCCTGGGTGTACTGTCTCTGTCCCCCTTAGCCCTGCAAAGTAAAACATTGCAGTACTAAAACTGCCTACAATGGCTGTCTACCAGGCACTTCCTGGATTCTAGTGTACTCAGACTCCCTAAACAATGCTGGACATCATCACACTCTGTATGAGAACATACAGCGTCAGTGAAATCACCATAGGAAAGCATTGATTCAATGCTCTCCTATGGCAAAGGGCTAATGCGCATTCGGCTGCCTGGTTCATCCCTCCCACCTCTCCCCTTATATATATTACTATTACAGGTGGGCCCTCTTTTATTACAGGCCTACCCGATACGTCGGTTTCGGCACACCACAACCGACTTGCTCATATATCTAACTTATCATGTATACGGCTTTTGTCCCCGACTACAAATATATCTCTATCTATCTCTCCTACATATATATTAAACTATTAATTTTACATAATTATTGGATTATATTCATTATAATTTGAGGGACCTACCTGACAACCCATGCAGACACTCCAGATGCACTTTGTATTTATCTTGAATTGAGAAACAGTCCCTGAGGAAGTCCCTGAGAGGGATGAAACGCGTAGGACTTGAATTATCTTGTGAATCTCTTGATGTCATGTCAGCTGTCTTTTACTTCTGTGTAAGTAAATACATTTTGTTGTATCAACTATGTTGTATCATTCTTGTCTGCCCTAGCTGGACAAACCCTATATCTGGCAATTATACTGATTGAAAATTTGAGGAGATCTTCAGGTAACCCCATTGCTAGAAGGTTAGTTACATGTTTTAATACATGCACTTGTTTATCTTAAAATTAGTGCAATTACACTTATATACACTTTATTCTACCTAAGCACTTTAATTGTGTGATATTGAGAGATTATTTTTTGTTACATTTGTATTAAGCCCTATATTTAGCCCTGTAACTTTCTAAAACACCCTAAAACCTGTACACGGGCGGATTTTGTTATACTCGGGAGACTTCGCTGAACACAAATATGGGTGTTTTAAAACAGTAAAACTTATCACGACGAGGATATCACCAGTAAAAGTGCTGTTTTGCGTGAAAAAATGCAAAAAACAAATAAGAACACTAACTTTGGAAAGTGTTTGTGACTAAGTGGCTACTACAAAATACTAGACATACTCCATGTTGAATATCCTGGGTTGTCTACATTTGCAAATGGTGTACCATGTTGCTGTTAATTTACATTCCTGGGCTACCATATAGTCTCAAAAGGCAACATAGACCCAGCAAACCAATCTGGCTAATTGAAATGGGCAAGCCCTATATTGACCCTGTAACTTTCCAAAACACCCTAAAACCTGTACATGGCGGTTATTGTTATACTCGGAAGACTTCGCTGAACACAAATATGAGTGCTTTAAAACAGTAAAACTAATCACAACAATGATATCACCAGTAAAAGTTCAGTTTTTGCATTTAAAAAAATGCAAAAAACAAATATTAACGCTAACTTTGGCCAGCGTTTGTGACTAAGTGGCTACTACAAAAGACTGGACATACCACATTTTGAATACCCTGGGTTGCATACTTTTTCAAATGGTATGTCATGGTGGGGTTAATTTTCATTTCTGGGCTGCCATACCGTCTCAAAGGCAACATAGCCATTCTGGAAAAATAGCAATTAGCAAAAACAGAAATTGTCAAATCTTATTTTGACCCGGTAACGTTCGAAATCACCATAAAACCCGCACTTGAGGGGTACTGTTGTACTCAAGAGACATTATTCTACACAAATATAAGTGTTTTAGAGCAGTAAAATTTATTATACTGATAATACCCCATTTTGAATACCGTGGGTTGTCTAATTTTACAAATGGTATGCCATGATGGGGTTAATTTTCATTCCTGGGCTGCCATACTGTCTCAAAGGCAACATAGGCCCAGCAAACCAATCTGGCAAATTTCGATGTGCAAACATGGAAAAAGGGAAAGCCCTACATTTGACCCTTGTATGTTCCAAAAACCCATAACACCTGTACATGGGTGGTACCGTTGTACTCATGAGACATTTCTGAATACAAATATGTCTATTTTATTTCCGTAAAAGCCAACAGTATCATTCATAGTTAAAATGTCATGCAGAACTTGAAAAATAACAATTTCTTAATTTCTCATACTTTTATTTTTAAAGATTTTATTCATATTAAATTATGTTTCATATAGAAATATTTGATATGAAATAAAAGCCCTGTTTCTCCTGAACAAAATCATATATAAGTGTGCTATTAATATGTTCACTTAAAGGACCACTCTAGGCACCCAGACCACTTCAGCTTAATGAAGTGGTCTGGGTGCCAGGTCCAGCTAGGGTTAACCCATTTTTTAATAAACATAGCAGTTTCAGAGAAACTGCTATGTTTATCAATGGGTTAAGCCTTCCCCTATTCCTCTAGCGGCTGTCTCATTGACAGCCGCTAGAGGCGCTTGCGTGATTCTCACTGTGAAAATCACAGTGAGAGCACGCAAGCGTCCATAGGAAAGCATTGATAATATTGCCGCGCGTGCGCATTCAGCCGACGGGGCGGAACGGAGGAGGATCGGAGGCAGAGAGCTCTCTGCCCAGCGCTGGAAAAAGGTAAGTTTTACCCCTTCTCCCCTTTCCAGAGCAGGGCGGGAGGGGGTCCCTGAGGGTGGGGGCACCCTCAGGGCACTATAGTGCCATGAAAACGAGTATGTTTTCCTGGCACTATAGTGGTCCTTTAATATGAAAGAGGTGAATTATGGTTGAACAGACAAATAGTGCAAATTCCAGTTTTTGTTTACTTTGTTTTGATCACAACGCACTATTGACTCCGTCCTTAAGGGGTTAAAGACACAGTACTGTATTATTGCAGTCCTCAAACTCAGGCCCCCCATATGTTGCTGAACTACAACTCCCATGATTCTTTGAATTACACAGATAGCCAGAGAATAATGCGAGTTGTAGTTCTGCAACATCTGGGGGGCCGGAATTTGAGGACCCATGCTGTAGAACACTGTTATTCACTCAGAGGCAATATTATGGAGCTCCTAGAAAGGAGGGACAAAAGGATGTGTGTCCAAAATAAAGACTCCCTCCTGTCCCTCCTGAACAGGAGCAATTGAGAGGTAAGGATCACAAATGCTGAGGGTCATGAGAGTTGCAGTCCATTAGCTGTAAAGTCATTTAAGATCATTTAGAATCTCTTCATTTTACTTCTCCTCTGCCAAGAGGGCTGTCAGAGAAACTTTTAAATAACATTTAATTTACTCTACTTGTTTCTTCTGTAACACTGTCTCCATATTGAGACATACCAACACAACCTGATGGCTGGGGGGGTGGGGTGTCAAATGACCAAAACCCTTTAAATAAATACTGAATTCCTAGAAGCTTGGCATGAATATTACTAATAACAAGAAAAGTAATCTCCAGCAAAACTAAAAGAATATTCAAAAAGGACGGGGCAAATGTAGCTTTGCTGCTCACTGAAACAGAAGTACCCCCTCTCCTGTGAGGAATGGATCGCTCCGTTGCCATGGCGACGCGTCCAACTTGCTCTTTACTTTTCAATGGTGGGAAAGGCCTGATTGTATACATTGTACCCAGTACAGAAACATTGGAACTCGGAGACCACACAGCAGGTAAAGTGCTTTTATTTAGTTTCCATTTAAATATTGGCCACCTTTGTCAACCCTGTGGAACTCCTGTTGTTGTACTATGTCTCCCTTTGTGCCCTGTATGGCTGAGCCTTATGGGAGTGGCAGTCCATAACAGCTGAGCTTCTAAAGGCTGCCCATCACTGAAGTTGATGCCAGCTATGTGAAGTTATAGAGTGAAAGTCAGGATGTGGCAAGTTCAGTTTTAAAAGCTGCATTTATGAGGAGATAAAATGTGTATTTTGGGCATTCATATATAGATAATGCAGCTATTCAGTTACATAACCTTTCCCATAGCAGTTTCTCACAAATATACATTTTTGGTAGTTACAGAGACACATTTGGGACATGTACACTACAGTCTCCACACACAAATGTATATATTATATATTAATTAAATGTGTGTATATATTATGTATATTAATAAAATGTGTATATTATATATGCATTAATTAAAGGACCACTATAAGCACCCAGACCACTTGAGCTCAGTGAAGTGGTCTGGGTGCCAGGTCCCTCTAGTTTTAACCCTGCAGCTGAAAACATAACAGTTTCAGAGAACTGAGGGTTAATCCAGCCTCTAGCAGCCAGCCACTGGAGGCCGCTCCCGCGATTCTCACTGTGAATCACAAGCATTGAGTAATGCTTTCCTACGAGCGGTTTGAATGCGCATGCGCATTCACCGCTGACAGCAGGAGGAGAGGTCACCAGCGCTGAGGGAGCCTGGCGCTGGAGAAAGGTAAGTGGCTGAAGGGGTTTTAACCCCTTCAGCCCAGCGGGAGGTGTGCCCTGGGGGTGGGGGAAACAAGTTTGTTTTCCTGGCACTATAGTGGTCCTTTAAATATAGACAACCAGGTATTTCACAGGAGAAACCAATATCTGTCAAATTTGTGGCTTCTTCATCTATAAATTAAATTTAGATAAGGGTTCCTTGTAGTATTTTTGATCAACAGACAATTATTGGTTTTTCAAAAGACAAACTAAGTAGAGCAGTATGCATTTTTAGTAAGGTAAATTGTCTTAATTTGAGCTTTAATATGCTTGTAATTTGTTTTGATGTTGTAAAAATGTAATTATATTAAAACAATAAATTGCTGTTTCGAGTGTCATTCTTACAGAGATACAGCCTTTCCAAAACATTTCTTCTACTCTTTAACTCTCTATCTTACATACATCATATTCCTATTTACATAGTAACTGTATAGCCATGGACATTGTCGCACCTTCTGACAACCCCCTGGAAGAATCAGGCCTCCTATATGATGAGCCATCAATGCTTGAAGAAGATGACATTCTACCTGATTATCTTTGGACCCAAGATGAGCAAACAGAAGGTGAGGGGATGTTATTACAAAACAAACACCAGTATCCTTTCTTAAAATGTGGATATTTTATTCTGTAAATGGGTTTCCTAGTTCATTTTTATTGGTATTATGTACTCATCCCAATGCCTATTTCTAGTCCTAACCTCTCATATTTATAAGAGGGAAACTATAGCCACCCGACCCCCTTCAGCTCATTAAAGTGGTCTGGGTGCAGTGCCACAGTCCCACTTACATTGCAGGACTAGGAATAGGACTGCCTCTAATGGCTGACAATCAGACAGCCACTAGGGGCACTTCCTGGATGTTAACAAAACACACAGATTGGTGATTACTGTGTATAGTGCGCTTACAAATGTAATTGAGTTAAAAATAAGCAGCTAAACACTCTAGTGGATACTCTCTTATCCCCACTAATTATAGTAATGAACCAAAGTGAACTTAGTACAATCTGGATATAATGTCCAGACTCTACTAATCAAATGAGTGGAGCGCTAAAGGTATAAACTTACCCTAAAATAGGGTTAAATCTCAGATGTATATCAGTACATATAAAGGAAACAAAAAATAAAACACAATATAGTGTAAATCCACAGGTGGTAATGTATTTTGGTGATAATTCAAGTAATCAAACTTACATTGATCAGAGCCTCAAAGGGACAGGCTCAAATCACTTGCACAGTAGTGTCATATGGAGACACTGCACCCTTTTGCCTGGAATGGATTTCCTCAAAGGAGAGAGAAAGGAAGACTTCCTAGTGTATTAAGTTTCAACAAAAAATAAAAAACACAGTGGTTATGGTTGTGCTCACCTTTTCCTGAGCCAATGAGAACCTGGCTCTGGATGATAGACCTGGGTACCTCTAGAGGGGGGGGGGCACCTGCCCTTCTTTAGCAGCAAGATGAAGTTAGAAGCTGATGGGAATTGGTCAGAGCCTTAAAGGGACAGGCTCAAATCACTTGCACAGTGGTGTTGTATGGAGACACTGCACCCTTTTGTTTGGAATGGATTTCCTTTTCCTGAGCCAATGAGAACCTGGCTCTGGATGATAGACCTGGGTACCTCTAGAGGGGGGCACCTGCCCTTCTTTAGCAGCAAGATGAAGTTAGAAGCTGATGGGACTTGGTTTAAAATACATACATTTATTGCAACTTTAAATATAAAAACAAAAACATAGAATTAAATAAAAATGTCCAGTTGCTTCTATATAAAATAAAGAATGTCCCAGTAATTAGCTCCAGTCCCAAGATGCGTTTCACCCACACTATGGGGGCTTTTTCAATCGGTATCCTCATTGTCTTCATGCTGCTTTTTAAATATGCCGGTTTCTTCATCCAGTGGGCGGTCCTCACATACCCAGGTCTATCATCCAGAGCCAGGTTCTCATTGGCTCAGGAAAAGGAAATCCATTCCAAGCAAAAGGATGCAGTATCTCCATACGACACCACTGTGCAAGTGATTTGAGCCTGTCCCTTTAAGGCTCTGACCAATTCCCATCAGCTTCTAACTTCATCTTGCTGCTAAAGAAGGGCAGGTGCCCCCCTCTAGAGGTACCCAGGTCTATCATCCAGAGCCAGGTTCTCATTGGCTCAGGAAAAGGTGAGCACAACCATAACCACTGTGTTTTATTAATTTTTTGTTGAAACTTAATACACTACGAAGTCTCCCTTTCTCTCTCCTTTGAGGAAATCCATTCCAGGCAAAAAGGTGCAGTGTCTCCATACGACACTACTGTGCAAGTGATTTGAGCCTGTCCCTTTTGAGGCTCTGATCAATGTGAGTTTGACTACTTGAATTATCACCAAAATACATTAACACCTGTGGATTTACACTATATTGTGTTTTATTTTTTGTTTCCTTTATATGTACTGATATACATCTGAGATTTAACCCTATTTTAGGGTAAGGTTATACCTTTAGCGCTCCACTCATTTGATTAGTAGAGTCTGGACATTATATCCAGATTGTACTAAGTTCACTTTGGTTCACTTCCTGGATGTTAACAGATTCAAGGTCGCCGAAATGACCCTGGATGTCCTCACACTCTGTATGAGGACATCCAGCAACAGTGAAAACTCCACAGGAATACATTGAGGCAATGCTTTCCTATTGGGAGGGCCTAATGCTCTTGCGGCGCTTGCCACGCATGCGCATTAGCCCTCCCCGTCAGATGAAGTCGGAGAAGGCAGAGTGCCAACCCAGCACCAAGGGACATTGGCACTGGAATCGGGTGAGTGGATTAAGGTTTGTTTTTTTTTCTCTTAACACTTTAAATGCCAAGGAGAAGCAAGGGAAGGGCATATAGTGTTAGGAATACAGATTTGTATTTAGCCCCTTAGTAGTAATCACACGTTTTTATTTTTGAATTTTTTTTTTTGTTAGAAGGCAACAAATTCCCCTTTGAATATGCAGTGGAAAAATCTCAGTCTGAAGATGCCATTGATGAAATAAGTGACAACTCTGAAGATGACTTCAGCTGGTAAGTGTAACCAAACAATGGATATCTGTAAAGTATAACTTGCCACGCTTAGAGAAAAATGTTCTTTAAACTTGCTTTTATTGTAATTATATATAGTTTGAGATATACACCGAATAGAAGGAGATTATAAACACTCCATTCTCAATATGTGCAATTGTTATATTTTACATTTAAGTGGGATCATTTCCAGTAACCCTACAGACACGCATACAGAAAAAGAGCTAGAAGTGTTATTTCAACATAGTAGCGTATTATAAAGCTTTTACATTTACCTTTCTTTACAATGGCAAAATGTTCTGGTACGCACAAGAGAGTTTTACAAAAATAATCTGAGAAACATTTCTTGTTTAAAATAAAAATTGTACATTTTGTATTTTGCAAGTGTTACTGAGGTTCACATGATCCCTACATTTGATTTCCCTCTAAAGATTACACCTTTATTCAGTTATTCCATAACTACAAGACCGTTAGCGCTAGCCTACATTTTAAATATTTTTGTACCTTTTGGCTGTGGTTTTTAGCACCCGGCATTCAATATTATGCTTAACATAGCAGGGTCAATCTGAGTGCAAGGACTGGTCTATTTTTTTATATAATTTTTTTTTTTTTATAAAATGATGTCCCCCTTCCCTGCTTACCTTTGCCTGGGAGGTGGGGCATTTCCTGCAATCCCTGGTGGTGACAGTGAACTCTAGCAGCTTCAGGAGCTGCTAGAGTTCTCTCTCGCGAGATTCGGGTGTTGCCGTGGTAACTACAGCAACGCTTTGAGCTTGTGAGAGGAGAACCCGGCGGAGCTGCAGGTTAGAGCTCCCCCGGGTCCTCCCTCCCCTGCCAGCTGTCAGCAAAGTGCTAGCGAGCCGGAGAGGGAGATCTCTGATCTCCCCTCTGGTCCTGCAGAGACGGCAGGGGAGAGCACAGTTCCCGGTGCTATCATCATAGCACCAGGAAAATAACTTGTGGCTACCCTTTGTGCCCTGGGGTGCCCCGGCACAGTTTGGGAACCGCTGGGTTAACCCACAGTTTTGGTAGTAACCCTTTTACCACTTGCTCATCCAGCAGATTTGTCTATGGTTCAACCTGCTTAGAAAGATTTGTTTTTATTATTGAAATTTCCAATTTATAAATGTGCATGGGGATGTTTTATATGGCTTCACGGTTTTATATGGCTTCAAGGGTTAGACAGAGGTCAGACACATGAAAAAAGACTCGGGCACCCCCTCATTCAAATTTGCCCAATCCCTTCCTGCCAAGGCCGCACCTCTTCCTGTTAAAGAATAACACGCATTTTGACTGACACAAACACACACTCACTGATGTGACACAATCTGACAGACACACACAATGATTCAGGCACACACAGGCACTGACAGACGCACACACATTCACTGAGAAACAAAACGCAGACACACACATTTACCCAACACTCACAAATTATTATTATTATTTTTTTAATTTAATCTAACCAGCCTCCCTACTTTTGGGAGAGCTGGGTGGATTATTTACCTGGGGTCCAGTGGGGCTGCTGGGCAGGCAGGTAGGCGGGCTGGCAGGCTTGAGGGCGGCCAAAGTAGGCGGTGAGGGAGCTGTGAACTTCCTGCTCAGCTCCTTCGTGCGCGCCACCTAGTGATTGTGGGGAGCGCTGGTTTGTGAGCTCTTCCTGCTCAGCTTCCTTCTCCACTCGCCCGTAACTCAACTGGCTGCCTCCCCAGATGGGGCATAAAGGTGGCAAGCCGGCCAGCTCTTGGGCCCACATAAAACTAGGTTAACAAGGCATGTGTCTATTTTTAACAAGGCATTTGCCTGAGCATTTGGGGAGGGTGTTTTTTGCCACCCCCTGGAAGGTGGGGCCCAAGGCAAATGACTTGTTAGCCTCGCGGTAAATGTATCTCTGGGAAGGTGCACTGTAATTTTTGGTCCCCCCTGACTTTTCAAACATGCAACAAGTCTTGTTACTTCCTGGTATGATTAGCTTATTTCCACTGAACTCAAGAGGCCGCAATTGCCCAGAGCACCTGCCTTGCAAAGACTTATCATTGAGCTGCATTGGGAAGTCTGTGATTGGACAGCCACAGAAATTCTGGGCGGGGGTTAGAAAAGAAGGGCTTGCAAAGGCAGCATACAAGAGCTCTGCAGTTTTTGCAAGCTGTTTTTAGATATAACTCCAATTAAAAAATACATCATTAAATGCATGCATGTTTTCATTTGGGGTATACATACTAAACAGTGATATTTTGTATTTGGGCAGTGGAGCGACCCTTGGTTTCTCACTATGCCTAATTCAGTACATTTGCTAGTATGTATTTTGAGAAAGCAATTGCCTAAATCATACACTACATGTTGAAGTTCACAAAATGTGCTTTTTAAACATGCAAACGTTAGAGAGCAAATTGTACAGTCACTGGTCTTCATATTTAGGAGATACAGAGAAATATATGGTAGAAAAGGAAACACATTATGATCACACTTAGTATATACAATATATATATCATTTATTAATTTGTTCTCCTATCCTCACAGACCCCACAATAGCCCCCCCATACATACACTGCACCCATAAACACAATTAACCCCCACACACATTGCACCGCTTACACACACTGTACCCATCATGCACAAACTGCCCATGTACACATACACTGCACCCCTCACACACAAACTACATTATTCACAAACACACTGCACCCCTATACGCACACTGCACCCCTCACACACACACGCACACTGCATCCCTGTACACACGCGCACACTGCATCCCTGTACACACGCGCACACTGCATCCCTGTACACACATGCACACTGCATGCCTGTACACACACACACGCACACTGCACACCTCACACACACACACACACACACTACAGCCCCTATCTCGGCAGACCCCAGGTAAGTTGTCAAATTGTTCTTAAACAGTTTGACTACTTACCCTGGGAGGGTACTACGGCACTACAGGCACCTTTACCACTACAACCTAATGTAGTGGTTATTGTGCCTGGATTGTTTCTTTAAATAATCTACCAGTGCCACTCTCAAGATTAGGGGCCCAGTATATGCCGCAGCGCTGTACATATATACAACCTAGAAAATAGTTTTGACTTGGGGCGCCTTGGAAAAATATTGAAATATTAAGGCCGCCTTGAAACTAAAGAGTTTGGAAACCACTGGGTTAACCAATAGAAATATTCTTTGTCACAGTTTTTTTGCTTGTTGTGCCATTATTAGCTACTTTTAATAGAGCACACTCTACAAAAAATATCAGCTGTCATAACACTTGTTGATTTGGAACTTTAGTTTAAAAGGTGACTATCTAGTGTTTTGAAAATATTTGGTAAAAATGTATGTGATATTAGTAACATTTAGTTTCCATCTAGGCAAAGTGAAACACATTCTGTAGACCTGGAGTTGACAAAGAAAACTACAAGGCATACAAACAGAGTTCAAACCTATCGATTTCGTAAAAAAATGAACCAACTGGACAGTATACAGCAAGACAAAGAATCCCTGATCCAGAAACTCAGGTTTGTATATTTCTGAGTACAAACATATAAAAAAAAACATTGCTAGTCAGTTTCAGTAGTGTGCAGGTTAGGAGGATGATCTCACTGTGTGGAGGTCTGAGATGGAAATAAAGAAATAGGATTATTGATTAATTTTGTCTTTTTTTTTTTTTTTTCTGAAGCTCAAACCAAAGGAGTTTCAAACCAGTTCAAGCATTCCAAGTCAGGGCTTTTTACCAGTAACACAACCCAGTTGTTATTTGGAAAATGCAATATTTGTTCTGTCGAAAATAATGCAGCCAACTCTGAAACTCTGATTTAAAGCTGAATTCATTTGAAATGTTGCTGTTCCAGATTTAACTACAAACAACAGATCTTTTTAACAATAAATTCTACTATGCAGGTTTCAGAAATGTGCTCGGAGCCTAGTTGATCTTATGTGAAGAAATATATATATATATATATATATATATATATATATATATATATATATTTTAAATTGCAGTACCACATATAACTAGTGAGCGCAAGTAAGATATAATAGTGATACTGATGTATATATGATGTATATGCTTCTGAGCATTCCGATCTTACTTAAAGGGACATAATAGTCACAAAACAACAATGGCAGAGAATTGAGCAGTGAGACTGCAGGGACATCAAAACTGCTTCAATAAGCTAAAGACGTTTGTGACTATAGTGTGCCTTTAATCTAACTGTTTGCCTCCTTCTCTATTTAAACCTTCATAAGGTTTCTGACAATTACACCATTACAGTGAGAATTCAAATTGAATTCCAAATTTAAGGTCAAAATAGCCAAACTCTAACAATGATCTAACTTTCAGTTCAGCTACTTACTTTAAAATCCATGTTAATTTACTATGAATTCTCACATTAGTTTATCCATGGTAGTATCATAGAAATACTGATGTCTGCCTGTATCCCAATCTCCCTACCATTTAGTGTCTCTTTCTGTCTCCTATTCTAACTGACCCTGTTTACTAAAACAAAAACAGCACTTATTGGTCCAAGGTAGCTAAAAACACAAATTTATATTTTATAGAATTCTCTCTCCCCAAGACTATCATTTTTTGAGTGATGGAATACTGTAAATATGTGTGAATTACTGTTTCTTTCAGGGAAGAGTTGAATACATGTCGTCAGAGGATCGAGTCCTTGGAACAACAAAAAAATACTGTAGAAACTGATATAAAGACAGAGCAAGAAAATAACAACACGTAAGCATACAAAAACAAAATGTCTTTACCTTAGTAACAAAAAGCAGGTTACTTCATTTGATAAGTGTATGATAAGTCTATTTACAGAGCCAGGTGCGGCATTAAAAATATTGGAGTCTTCTTAATTCAATATGGAAAACCTCATATGTGAACGAAATAATAGTCACATAAAGTTTTTGTTGTGCATTGCACTGTTGTCAAGGCACAGGTGATGTAAGCTTTCCCAAAGGTACCCATACAGTCACGTCTTCAGCTTGTAGTTGTTAATGTTCCGCTGCAGTAATACCTGTTGATAAAGAAAATGCTAAAGGATAGAATAACCAAAGGTAAGATTCTATTATTTATTACAACCTGGGAAATCTTACGTTAAATGATTTAGAAAGAGTTATTTTTTTTATTTTTTTTAATAAATACATAAAACAGCAATACAAACAGATTTTTTTTTTAAATTGTATTAGGCATGCAAGGTATGTTAAGGCAATCATGTATGCATGTGTTTTATAGGATTCATTAAAAAAATCAGTTTTACAACTTTCCTGAGTAAAATCCGATGTAGCTAAGAATATTTTAGATACTGCTACTGCAACTTAAATGCAGATAGGTTTATCTTCTACTAAATAGTGGCTACAATTGATCATATTCCATCTCTATCAACATTATTACTCCAGCCCAAAAACATACACGTAAACAAATACCTCTCAACATTTAAAATAGACAAAGAGGAACACTTTTAGTTTTAGGGTTGTAAGTGAGGTGTGGCCAGAGGCAGAGCTGTTCTGAGAATTTTAGTTACATTCTAATTTATTCAACTAAAATGTATTTTTAGGACAATAACAATGTATCTTAATTACAGACTGATTTATAAACATATTTATTGCAGTTTAAAGGACAACTGAAGGCACCCAGACCATTTCATCTGAATGAAGTAGTCTGGGTGCTGCAATGTAAAGCATGGTCTTAAAGTAGATGTGGCAATGTGTACATTGCAGGGTTACATACACCTCTAATGGCTGCCACTAAAGGCACTTCCGTTGTAAGAACTGAGTCAATCTGGTTTCTCACATTTGCCTCCAATATGAGCGAAGCACTGCTGTACATGCGCTGTTTGTCCACAATGCTCCTTTTTGGGAATTGGACATTTAGAAGCATTGGGAAACATCGTGGGAGGCACATCAATCAACTACATGAATAAATATTGAATATGGAATCAGATTTTTATATTTGTATTTATGTAATTAAAACCGAGCCGACGCTTTTCAAAATTGCCTTTACCTATAAACAATATATTTAAAAAAATCAGTCAGAGAATTCCAATAGTCTATTAAAATCTATTATTGTTATCTTTCAGCAGATAATGAGCTAATAAAATGTATAATGTTATACAAGAGAAATATGTATACGGAATTATTCCTACACCTTCACTGCAGAAAGTATATTGTTTTTCTATAAATGTAACAATCCGGCTGTTGGATAAATATATTATCTTGTATGCTTAAGAGATATATTTTCTTAAAAGGAGAATATACTGTTATGTATAAATTTCAGCGTGATTCAAGTTCTCTTGTTATTTAACAGTGCTGCTGTTTTCCGCCTGCAAGCTTTGCATAAAAGATTGTGCGCTGAACTAGACATTGAGCAAGATGTGGAGTCTAAAATAGCTAGCATGCTGGAAGAAAACAAGTGAGTATTTTCTGATCAATCATAGCATTGCTTGAAAGCACTGCTATTTCCTTTATAAGGCAGGCAAATGAAAAGAAATCTAAGCTTCCAATTTTAGGTTTTTATTAACTGCATTTCTCATAATTTTCAGTCAACCAAAAGCCAAGGTAATCTGTCATTTAACAATAAGTGTAACAATGCACACTGCTTATATATAGGTAGCCTTGTCATTCCAGCTGTTAAAGTTTGTTGCATTTCTCTACCATTTAATAAAGCTTGTGTCAGGGATCTTACCTGGAGTGGGAGCACGGCACGCAGAGTTAAAGCACCCTTTGCAATGCGACACAGGCCGAAGGGACTCAAGACAGAAATCCCCAAGGTTGTGACACAGTGCACTGGGGCTGAAATAACCAGTGCTTCCTGGAACACAGTACAGACCAGGGATATCCAGAAGAGTAGTCAGAAACAGAAACAGAAGTCAGGACAGGCGGCAATCAGGCGTAAATGGTAGATGGGATCAAAACCAGGAGTCAGATGAAATAGCAGTGAAACCGAACAGGAAACACAATCTGACAATGAGAACCAGCATTGTGGGGTTTTAAATAGGGAGTCTCAGCCAATCATCAGGGAACAGGTGTGCAAATGTCCAGAACTAAAGATGCGTGGAGTCAAGGACAAGGTGCCTGACTGGGATGCAGGAGACCCAGGTTCAAACCCTGCCAGACCCAAATACCCATAATTAGCGCATAGCACGCTGGTGACCCTGACAGCTTGGGTGTAACTGCACCCCCTTTTAAACCTGGAATGACAATAAGAATGTCAATAAACTACTGATGAACTGTTAACGATGTCAGAATGATCACAATTTCACAGGTCCGAAATTTTTAGACCACACTTTTGCCAGCATTCGCACCAAACATGGTGCTTCTTTACCTCTAGTGAATAGACCTACACATATTTTATGAGTGAGTCAAAATATACCTTATTTAGTTGCCTTATCATTCACATGCTATTTTATTCAAATAGAAACCTCGACTGTGTTATATACACCCACCCCAGTAAAATAGTGGAGTGCTATAGGTATTATAACGTACCCTTAAAATGTGGGTAAGATATGGTGATTTAAAGAAATAGATACATATATAGTGCAATATGACCAATATTATGCCGTGAATATAATTTTAATAGGATTCACTCACATTTGGCTGAGCCCAATTAGGACAGGCTCAGATCACATGAACAGATGTGTACTATGGTGACACTGCCCCTCTTTCTCTGTGTCTTGATGTACTTGTAATAGAGAAAATTGGAGAAATACATAGAGCAATGTGTCAATCCAATAAAGTGCACAATATAAAGAATTGCTGACTGCTCGCCTTTCCCAGAGCCTATTATACCTCTTAGTATGTAGACCCTTGTGTCTGTATAGGGAACACAAACCTTTCTTTGGAAATAAGACCAAATAGTTGGATGGAGTCCACAGGAAGGATATAAAATATCCTATTTATTACAATTTAACGAAACAATAAAACAAAATATGAAAGCATCATATAAATCAAATTATAAAATCCTTCATCGGCACTCCCGAGACGCGTTTCACTGGTAATGGTCTGATTACACCGATTGAAAAAGCAGCTTTCTTGTATTAAGTTGTGTAGATGAGAGGGATATTTCAACACAGTAAAGGAGGAGACTATATTTAAAAGAAGAAAAACTACCACAACAAGAGGACATAGTCTTAAATTAGAGGGACAAAGGTTTAAAAATAATATCAGGAAGTATTACTTTACTGAGAGGGTAGTGGATGCATGGAATAGCCTTCCAGCTGAAGTGGTAGAGGTTAACACAGTAAAGGAGTTTAAGCATGCATGGGATAGGCATAAGGCTATCCTAACTATAAGATAAGGCTAGGGACTAATGAAAGTTTTTAGAAAATTGGGCAGACTAGATGGGCCGAATGGTTCTTATCTGCCGTCACATTCTATGTTTCTATGTAAAATTAGAGGGACATAGGTGGTAGCAGCCTTTAAATATATATTTTTTGCCTTTTGCATGTTTAAGTGCCTTTCACACAAGTACGCACTTTTGTTATTTTAATCAAAAGTATAAGGTAAAGTTATGGTACAGACTAAATATTTAGGTGCTTTCTGACCAGATTTTCAGGGCCATAATTTCACATCTTTGGCATTTTTCTATTGTAAAGGTATGACCTCTGGAAAATTGAAGTGGAGCAAGGAAAGTTTGCCAGTTCACGTGAAAGACTTGAACAGGATGAAGAAGAGATGGACAAACAAAGGAAAGAGCTAGCAGAGCAGCGGCTCCAGAAGGAAAAGATTTTCAAAAATCTGTCCGAGCGCAAAAAGCAAGCAGAAAAAGTGTAAGTAACAATTGCAACAAATGTGACAATGTAAACAAGTTTGGCCAAAAATACTGTTCTGACACCAAAGGCCACTAGAACCCACCTACTAAAGTTCTACCACTAAATAATATTTTTCCTTTGTTTTTTTGTCTTCTCTCAGTTGATATAGTCGTTTCATAGTCCATAAAAGCATTCCCTCAATCGGCATATGCTTCCAGTAAAACTCATCAATGTGTTTACTCCTTCAGGGCAATATTCCCTAATTCATATTCCCCATGCAATAATGCTTAACAATTCATTTTTAAATGTTCCTCCAATCTCCTTTATATTCCTACATCTTTGCCCCATTTGTCCAAAGACCTCTCTGCCTCTTTTTTTCAGCCGTTCAAACTATTTCTAATATTTATATATCAATAAGCTATATTTTATATTTTGAAAAATGTAAAAAATGTTGTTGTATATTTTAATATTTTTTTTAAAAATCATTGTAAAATCTCATTCAAACATATTAAATCGAGGCCATGGATAGGGATCCAGTCTTATACCAAACATACATTATTTCAGTGAAATCAGTATTAATATAATATATTAAGAAATGGTCATCTTTTATGTTTTTGGAGAGTGTGATTGGCCAATAACATCATTAATAAATAACAATAACATCAATAAAACGTTATTGGTTATAACAAAAAGGGGAAATACAATATCTCAAGATAATTTGTTTCCCTCCATGACAAACATGGAATTCCTCAATCCTTGAACTCTGATAACTTTCTGTGAAAATACCAAGGTGTATGATGTCACATATATTATTGGGGAAAAAATATGTTTTGTTATGTGTTCACAAAGTTGTCAGAAACAAATAACTTTATATTATTCTACTACATTTGAACGATCTTGTCACTATTATAACAATAATAAAGGGAATTATTTTTCATCCAGTTTACCTATGAGATCAGTGGAGTGACAAGCTATCACTGTGTTCTTATATGAATACTAGACTGTGCATTGTGAACTAAATCATAATTTAAGTTACTCTTCCCAGAAATTGCGATCTCCCTGTTTTGCCCCTTTAATTATAGCAGATAGAAAAC